AACCAAACAAACTTGTAATATGGATTTAAAAAGAAAAAACAACAAAAGAAACATAAACATGAAGGACTTACTTCTTTTCTTTTTCAAAGGTAACCAATCTCCAGTTGTTATCAAAGCTTCGACCACATCAGGAAGCAAAGCAGCACGGGTCTCATCAATTACCCTTCCGCCAACGCTAAATGCCGATTCCGATGCCACAGTAGTAGCTGGAATTGCAAGAATATCACGAGCCATCTTGCTAAGAATAGGAAATTTTGGACTGTTTGCCTTCCACCAGCCTAGTATGTCAAAATCATCTTTTCTTGGAAATACAGGCTCGTCCAAGTATGATTGCAATTCAGATTTTTGGCTAGCAAGAATAGTAGAAGAACATGATTGCTGATACCATTTGTCAAAATCAGACAACTCATCATCATCATCTTCTACGTCTATATTTTTGTTGCCACAACTAGAAGTCCCTTCTCCTATATTATCTCCAACATAACTCAAAAAAGGAGCAAGGTCACCTCCATATTCAACAAACAAGTCAGCAATAGCATTACGAATTCTATCCACATATCTTTCACCACCTTCTCCATAAAGTTCATTGTAATAATACTCTACTAAAGCCAACTTAAATCTAGGATCAAGCACCACAGCAATAGCTAGCACCAAAGAACATTCTTCCCAATATTTCTCAAATTTTGCTTTCATTGGAATAGCCATTTCTCGAATAAAATCATGCTCACTAACTTCCCATTGCCTCATCTTAATACGAATATTACATATATCAGGAAAGAAAACATTTGCTGTGGGAAAATTAGAACCACTAAAATGACATGTGGCTTCATAAAATTTTTTCAAACAACCATGAACAACACTAGCCACTTTCCAATCATTTTCTGAAGGATTGAGCTTGTAATTTCTGTCCATTTGTTCTAAACGACAAAAAGCTTCCTTCAAAGGCAAAGCAGTCTCAAGCATCAAGAATGTAGAATTCCATCTATTTTGAACATCCATACCTACTCTTTTTTTATTTTTCAGCTTGCATTGATTAATTGCATTCTCAAACTTTTGATAAGAAGAAGTAGACCTTTTCAAGTACTTTAAGGTCTCTCGAATCTTATGAAGCAATTTTCCAACAATAGCTAACCCATCTTGCACAATCAAATTAAGAATATGTGCACTACATCGAACATGAAAAAGATCACCTCCTAAATTGAGCAATGACTTATCCAACAGCCATGATTTCAAACATTTAACCATTGAATCATTTGAAGATGCATTATCAACAACAACAGAGATCAGCTTCTTATCAATGTTCCATTCCAAGATGATATCAGAAATAAATCTAAATAATGTTTCACCATCATGAGGATATGGAACAGATTTAAAAGCAATAATTTTCTTTTTCAATTCCCAATGTTCATTGACATAATGAGCTGTCAAACAGGCATAGGCAAAATTTTGGTGATCTGATGTCCAAAGATCGGTAGTTAGACTTATCTTACCATCAAAATCATCCAAATACTTATACAATTTTGCCTTTTCTTCTTTATAAACACTAATCACATCTGCCCTGGCTGTATTTCGAGAAATCAGCTTAAAATTTGGCTCCAAATTATTCAGAAAAATCTCAAAGTACTCATGCTCAACTATGTTAAAAGGATAGTTGTGTTTTATTATAGCTCTAGCCAAATCCATTCTACTTCTCTCTTGATCAAACTTGAAAGTTTGAACTTTAACTTTATCATCCAAAGCATTTTTAGCCAACTGAAGTAATTGCTGCCCCCCACTCCTATGTCTTCTAGCAATGCAATTATCTATGTGTTTTTTCAAATGGCTTGTCCCGCATGAGCTATCTCCGGCCATTTTTTTTTACAATGCTTACATACGGCAACAATACCAGTAGCAGTCTTAACTCTATCCATATCAAACCATACCTTAGATGTTAATTTCTTTTCCCTAGGTTTCTTACACGAATCATCTTCCTTCACCTCCTCCTCTTCCGAATCCAAAATGGCAACCTCATTCTCATCAGCTGTGCTACTTGGTCCTGTTGGATTACTCGGCAAAGATGACATCCTGCAATTAGTGAATAACATAATTTATTAGATAAACATGGTACAAGACAAATTCCTTAGAATGTTGCATTCAAAATCCAGTGAATGCAAAAAATCTAAACAGCAAAATGCAAAATTTTTAGCACGAGTATAAGATGTACTGTCCAGGAATTTATGATGCACCAGATTCTTGAGTTTATTAACATTCCAGCCATATCAGAAGAGTAAAGCTCATTAAGATATTAACTGGCCTTGTTATTATGTTTTTATAGGACTATAACACATAAATTGCAGCAAAGCTCAACGCGAAGTCTTATCATTAGCAAGCCATTGATGATAACACCAAATTGCAGTTTTAATAGAGGGGAAACAAATTCCTTTCTCTTATATTTGTTAATTGACAATCCGAGAAGATGACAAATGATCCGAAAAGTGTTTCTATCCCTTCATTCTTTGAAATGTAAGCTCAGACCAATTCTGAGGAATAAAATTCCAGATCTGCATTCTGATATAAAATTCCACCATTACATGACAAGATGTAAGATATCCCACTGATTTCTCTCATACAGACATATGTATACGAAGGAAATTCCCAGGTCTTAAGCATATTATCAGCAGTAGATGGCAGCCAATTAAATGGGGGTTCATGCACATTAATCATATCCACGATGCAGTGCCCAAGTAATTTATGGCTAGATTAATCTTTGGTGGTATCAAGTCTTATTTTTGTAGAATGTTATGTACCTAATCATTTGCTTTAGATGATTAACTTAGCTCAACAAGATCACTAAATCAGCAACCTTATTAGGCCCCATCAAGATCGACTTCTTATTTGAATAAAGTTTGTCACATCCTCATGATCAAGCAAGATAAACCCTGATCATGGTCAACAAATAAGTAATCATGCGTGCAATCATCCAATGATCCAATGACATAACCTTTGTACTCCAGGCTCCAGAGAACAAAGAAACGGAAACAGAGAACAAAGAACAAAACTGAATAGCTAGTCTCGAGATTATTCTAGTAAACTGAAACAGAGAACAAAACTACCCAACTAATAAAAATTCCCCTGCTATTTTCCTCCATAAATTCCAACATTTTCCCGTCAAGATAATCTGGCAACTTATTTTTTGGGTAGTATTTAAAAATTTCAAAAAACCCAAAAAAATAAGTACAGCAAGATCAGAAATATACTAACAAAATTTAAAAAAAAAAAAAGAAATTGATGAGACATATATACAGAGGGCCGAAAAAGAAATTGATGATACATATAAACAGAGGGCCGAAGGGATCAAGTTTACTTGTTAAGATAGAACTTCGTGCTGAGCACCGACGGCAAATCGGCAAGTCCGCAAGAGCAGCCAAGCAGGAAGACCGAAGACGCCAAATACTGGAGTAGTTGACTGAGAAGCCGAGCAGTCGGCAAAAGCAGCGGCGGCAGCCGAGCAGGAACTCCAGGAAGACTGAAGACGGCGAGGAGGCGAAGAGCCGAAGACTGGAGTAGTGGAGTGAACTGTGAAGAATCTGTGAGTGGTGAGTTGCAGATCTGGTGAGTGGTGAGTGGTGGTGGTGAGTGGTGGTGGTGGAGGCGCGACTCAGGAGTTGGGAGGCAGAGGAGAAAAATGGTCGCTGGGGCTGGGTAAGGAGCAAAGGAAAAGAGAGTGCGGCGGCGGTGGGTTACGTACGTGGGTATTAGACTATTAGGGATTTAGGGTTGAAGCCAACTGGGTATATATTTTTAATTATTAATTAATTAAAAAACGGGTTCGGGTCCTATACGGGTCGGAACGGCATATTCCGTATCCTACCCGCAAATCTATTAGATTAAACGGGTCCGGGTCCGGGTCCGGGTCCCGGAACTATATGCCTACCCGTACCCGGCAAATATTGGCGGGTCCGGGCCGGGTCCGGGTCCAGACCCGGACCGTTGACAGCCCTAGGTTCGACCCTGAGCTTGAGCAACTGGGGTATCTTCCTAGGGATCGGTGGGGCCCGCTCTCTTCGGGGTTGGGAGACTAGTCGGGTGTAGGCTCGGACAACCCCAACTGAAAAAAATAAATAAATAAATAAAACCCACAAAAAGACCTAGGGGAGCATTTTTAGTGCCGGTGGTTGTTCATTTGCATTGCCAGTTTTTTCCAAAACTTTTTTTTTTCCATTTGTCGTAAACATATTTTTAAATTATTTTTTTATCTCAAATATATTAAATTGTTAAAATATACTTTTTCTTTTTACAAAAATTTCAGAAAATAACAATTTAAACGGGCCCCATATTTGTTCATGTTTAAAAAATTCCTGTTTTTATTGATCATAGCTTTTATTTGTTCCTTGCCATAATGGTTTAGTTCTGATACATCATGATGGATTTTAATTTTCTAATGCTTCCAAGTTGTGTTGGTATTATTATTTTCCAAACTCTTGAAGTTATAATGGTCACAGCTTCCCCTAATAACTTTTGCAATTTTGCATTCAGAAGTTGGCTTACTATTTGCTAGAATGCAGAATTAATCTCAGTATTGTGGTTGTATCCAAATAACTGACGCTGCATATTTTTTTGTTCCAAGAAAGAAAAGGGAAGAAAACAGTTGGAAGTCGGACGACGTATCCATTCCTCCCACGAAAAGGTGAACAAATGTGAACCGAAACGAAAATGGCAACAGTAGAAGAAGAGACAAAACTCGAGAATCAAAGGGTAGGCAGAAGAGGCCACCTGTAGTCCAAACTCAAACTGGACCATACAAAAATAAATTTCCTGGTTCAGAACTCTTATAATTGCTGGCAGCTACTAATTTGTTGCTCACATTTAAGGAAAACCAGAAAAACAGCATACACAGATCAAATTTTGTCGTATAATTGTATGAATTTCCAGGGTGAGGTTCCACTTTGGCATATATTGCTTGGAAGAAAAAACCCAAAAAAAAAAAGATAGAAGTTTTGTGGCAAAATAAATGCTACTGAAATAATCTGCTGGAGGAGACTCCTAAAGCACCACAATCACTTGTGTTTGTTTTACTTTTCATACCCCAAAATTGCCACCTTTGGCGCTTCTTGGCTCTCCTGAATCTTTCCCTCTCTCTCCATATTTTTTCCTCTCTTTCATTTCAATTTTCGAACTCAACCCCCCTCTACCCCTACGATTGGGAAGTACTTTGAGAAAGACGTAGGAAAGTAAACCTGCAGCTTTTGAGGAGAGAAAAACAACTGATTCACAGGCTAAAGGGGTTATGGACGAAGATAGAATTGGGCTGGTTTTGGTCAGAGTTGCTGAACTGAGGGGTAAAATCACTAATTGTGTCCATAAAGCAGCGACCAGTGGCAAGAAGGAAGATGGAGAAAGCCTAAGTAAAGACTCTAAAGTAGGCCTTGATGCTCAAGAACAGGAAGCAGAAGAAGATGACGATGAAGAAGCAGCAGAGAGTCTTCTGAATATTAGGGAAGCCCTTGAATCACTTGAGGCCCAGCTTTCTTCTTTGCAGGTCTCTCCTCTCCTCTCTTCCCCCTCATTTTCTTTTAAAGTTTCGCGCACACAGTCTCTACAATGTTGTATTTTCTTGAAATTTTAGGGATTTTCTTGTGTGCCCTCTATTTATAGATAATATATGTGGAATCAGATCTCAAATTTCAAAATTTACTTGAATGTCCCAAGGTTTTCCGTTAGATTCTTGAGTAAAATCATTTAAGTTTACAGTGTTATCAGTCTAGGGTTTAAGTTAGTCAATAATGGTCTTGAATGACTGAGTGCTTATGTTGGTTCATCTCTTTCTTTGTGGCTGTTGGAGAGGTCTTTTGTTCCGGTCTGAAGCAGAGTCTTGGGCCTGGTTTTGTGCTAAAGATGATATCTTTGCGAGAAATAGGCTATTGAAAGTCAAATTGTTTGGAGAAACCTGCCGAATATGGTTGGAATTGCCTGGAGTTTAGGGTACATATTATCTCTCGATTGTCTCAGTCCCGCTTTTCCTGCACTCTTTTATCATGCACAGTCCCTAATTCCGTGCACTGAGCAAAATTCCTATTTTGGGGCTATGACTTAGTTCAAGCAAACATAAGCTAAATGAGTAGTTTTGTGTTTTTCCCCCATCTTGTTATTTTATCGCGGTTACTGGAAAATGAAAATTGTTGAAACAAGTTTGGATGTCTCGTGTTTTGCCTGATTTAGTTGAAAATGATCTCTAGCATCCATCCTTTGCTCTTAGTTATAAGCTCTTTCCTAGAGTTTCATTGATCTGATAAAGAATCAGGACGTCCTTTTTGGTGTGGAAGTGGTTCTTTCTAGGTACATAACTACTATTCTGGTGGAGGTAATTGAGTGATAGTGCTTGGTTTCAACTTGATTGGTAAATTAATTCCTTAGAGTTCAGTATTTATCCAAGACATTTGTATCAAATGTGAGAATTTTAGATTTTAATAGAAGGAAAATTGAGAACTCCTAATTTTATGTTCTCTCATAAAGATTTTGGTGCTCTTTGGAATCAAATATTGGTATACCACCCGTCATCTGTAGATTCAATAGTTGGGTTTGTATAATAGCACAAAGTTGAAATACATTACACTTGAGACATTTGTTAATGTATGGGGCTGGAATGCAATCTGGAAAGGGTTCCATGTGAGTTGCCTTAATATCTTAAGGATTCATTACCATACATTCGGGGTCTATCGTATTTGATGACTTGAATTGTCCAAAGATGGTGATTGTTCGTCTATGGGTAATAATAAAAGAGAATTTCTCGCTGCACCTGCTTCTTCTGCAGACCTTTCTGCGGCATTTAAACTGGATTGTAATTGTCATGATTTATGAGACCACTGATTTCATCTTCAAATGATAAATCAGATTTGGTTAGTCTCCTTCATTGTTTATCTAACAAATCTCTGGTAGCTTAGTGAGACTGAGAGAAGTGTTATATTCGATAAATGGGAGTAGTGGCTTTATCTCCTATTACTTCTGATGATATCTCGATTTTTGTTCAGTAACACCACAGCTCCAGAACCTTGGGTATGGAATGATTACTTAGTGGCACCTTTTATGTCTACGAGGCATGTCTGTACTTGGGTACTGTTATTATTTGATTTGTGAACAATTGTCAAACAGTTGCTTTGGAGTTCCAGTTTCTTTTCTCCATTTCTTGATATTTCAATTGTGTTATCTATTTGTAGTGTAGATTTTATTGTCTTATTTGTCGTAGTCAGATGACTGGATAAAGCTTTCTCCATATATCACCATAAAGATCTAGAAGAAAGTAAATTGAGGCTTTGCCCAATTCATCCGTTTCTCTTGTAAAGGTCTAGAAACTCACTTTCTATATGCAAAACTTCTATGGCCAGGCTTTACAACAGCAGCAATTGTACGAGAAAGAAGCAGCCTTAGCGGAAATTAGATACAGTCAAAGAAAATTGCTTGAGAAGTTGAAGGACTACAGAGGGGAAGAATTGGAAGTCATTCGTGAGGCAATTGCTTTTGCTGGTGAAGCCGTGGAAGATAACAACGACCTTCTCCTCCCACCATATCCAAGCCGGCCTTTGCATTCTGCGATGTCTGATAATGACTATTTATCACAATTTCCTAGTGCACGTAAGAAAACCCAAAATGGGGTTGTAAGTGGTGAAACTAAGAATGCACCTGCAAAAGGATTCCTTGAATCAGACACAGACCAACTCCAGCCTGAACCTGGAAGACCATTGTCCAGGGTAAAAGGTTTCATGGGTGCAGTAGCAAAGTCAGCGTTAACTATCGTTGGGGTATTCTCTGTTCTCAGTTTGGCAGGCTATGAGCCTCGGTTGAGGAAAGGTGATAAGCAGTTCAAGTTGCTTCACCTCTTTCAGCAACATCAATCTGGTGATGGTGGAATAACTGTTGAATGTCCGCCTGGTAAAGTACCGGTCCTTGAAAATGGTGAAACACGCTGCCTTGTAAAAGAACGAGTTGAAATTCCATTTGAATCTGGGGTAGCCACCCCAGATGTCAATTACGGGTGTGGATGAGATGATGTTTTGGGTGGTGATGTATATCTCTGATCTTCTGACGTTGTTTCCCTTATATCTTTCAGTGAATCTTTTTTGTTTTTTTCGGGGTGATAGTCGAATAAAGCCTTTCTAGCTGGTTGCAAGGAAGTTTAGGGTAGAATTATCTATATTTGAGGGTTAACAGTGCTAGTTAGCTTTTCATTTTTGGAGCTGCAGATTGCAGCGTCTTCAAAAAAAGCAACCAAAAATTTTCTTGGTGAGAGTATTATGGACTCATCATAGTCTCTAATATATATATATATATATATATATATATTTTTTTTTTTTTTTGAAAAATGTTATTTGCACTCCATCTTTTTGTTATTTGTACTCCAATTATTTGTTTTATCATATAGTCTAATAAATGAAAACTATGTGATTCAAATAATAGTAGGAGGCAAGTAACATTTCTTCCCTTTTTTTTTTCTGTAATATAAATCTTTTGTCTCTGGCTTTCTTGATTTCTTTATAAGTGCATCACCAATGGTGTGTTGGGGAATATATTAAGAATGAATAAGACGAACGAAATGCAAGAAAATAAGAAGTTTTCTGGTGTCTGGCTGCGTTACCGGGCGCTCGACTTAAAAACTGCAAAAGTTTCCCTTGTTTTTTAGTAGATTACTTGACCATTCCGCCGTCAATGTGCATTTGCGTCAGCTCTCACCGCAGCAGAAGTCCAGGTGTAGGAGGAGTGGGAGACCAGACCACCATCAAATTCAAAACAATGTTCAGTCGCCACCAAAAAACAATGTGCTGTCCGAGTTGTTTAGTAGTATTGAGCCGCCTCTGAAGATGGCCATTCGCCCCCACCAAAGGTCTCCGTGAGATTCAAACGACAACTATATATACGCACAAATCCATCCTACAGCAGCATAACATATAGTAGTATTTTAGTACTATCCAATACTAGACTGACGTTATTCTCTGAACCATTTCCTAAACCAGAAACAAAATGAGTCTTCAAGAAGGAGGGGAAAGTTGTGGGTCTTTGGCAGGAAGAGTGTTTACTGAAGAGCAGGAAGCCCTGGTGGTGAAGTCATGGAACTCCATGAAGAAGAACTCGGGAGAATGGGGTCTCAAATTCTTTCTCAGGTAAGTCGGTGTCCTCTGTTTTGCATTTGTCCTGTGTTCTTGAATGGCCTTTTGCTCCGTTCAGAATTAAAAATAAGCGGTTGGTGTCGTATTTCTTTTCCTTCTGATGATCAGGATATTTGAGATTGCACCGTCCGCTAAGAAATTGTTCTCATTTCTTAAAGAACCGAACGCTCCATTGGAACAGAACCCCAAGCTCAAGACCCATGCCAAGACTGTCTTCGTCATGGTCAGTAATTGTTTAATTTTTTCACGTTCGTACTCTGGCAAGAAAAACAAACTATGAAGATGTCTCACAAGTTGCAACCAGATACTGGGACCTATTTTACTTTGCCTTTTAGCTCTGATGTGATCTCTGTTGCAGACGTGTGAAGCTGCGGTTCAACTCCGGAAAGCTGGGAAAGTTGTGGTGCGGGAATCAAGTCTCAAGAAACTGGGTGCCACGCATTTCAAATACGGAGTCGTGGATGAACATTTTGAGGTATAATTTGATCATCGTCATCATCATCAGTAATTGGAATGAATGCTCTGCGGTACATATCTTTAGGTTACAGGGTAGCCCGACTGTTCTACTGTCCCTGTTCAAGATGAAATGGATATTTATCTAACTAAATGCTTGGATGTTTGCAACCACAGGTGACCAAATTTGCACTGTTGGAGACGATCAAAGAAGCAGTTCCAGAAATGTGGTCCACAGAGATGAAAAATGCATGGGGTGAGGCCTATGAACAATTGGTCGCTGCCATCAAGACCGAAATGAAGCCCTGAACATCAAAATCATTGGGGGTGCGCTCCCAGTATTTCTATCCGAAATTCTCTGTTTCTCTTGTCAGATTGAATTGTCATGTTTCAATAAACCATAAATAGATTGTACAATTTGAAGCTGTTTCATATGGTACTTGGACACACTTCAAGATTGTAAGGCTTGTTTTATTAAAATGTTCGGTCCAGTCAATTAAAATATGCTGCCCGGCACAAGGATATGATAAATAATCCATCTTACTAATTGTGAGGTAAGTTTCTTAGGTTACAGAGTGCGATTCATCATATCGTGTTTCTCACCCGTAAGTAAAAATGTTCAGGGGACCTAATTCTATCTTTCATTTCATCAGGAAACGAGCGTTGCAATCACCTACTAGTAGTATTAAGGGATAATTTCACAAACCTCCCCTGAAGTATCTGACAATTACAGACAGAGAGCTCCCCTCAATTTTTAGAAATCATACCTAGTTCCTTTGCTTTTACTATTAAGGTAACAAAATAGGTCCATCAACCTAGATTTTTCCTCAAATACCCTAAATTACCCTTGTTCTATAAAAAAAACAAAAGAAAACTAGTTTTCTCAACACTTTCTTCCAAATTTGCAACAACACCACCACCAAGCAAACACTTTAAACTCCAATGTCAAATCTAATTATTTCCAAACATGCGACAAACCTACTAAACAAATAGTTTGAATAGTTCAAGAATTTTAGCAGCTCCAAAAATCTCAACATCTGTCTTGTAATATCATCCCAGCTAAAATGTTTTTGAAAAATAATTCTCTCTTGATAACCAACAGCTAAACTCACACTCTAAACTTCAATTCAATACCTAGCACTGTCACAAAACAAATAATAATCTAACCTATCACCACCAGTAGAATAATACTCTGACTTCCACAGAAATATTTATTAACATTGTAAAACAGAGTAAAGCCATACATAACAAAACTAGAACCAACAATATTAATCAAGTAAAGAAAATCAAATGCATTTATTAACATCCTATACAAGTTTTCAGGATAATAATCAACCCAAGAATTTTTCCATTAATCCCTTATTTTCCATGCTTCTTAATTATCAATTGCATTATTTATTTCTTTATCATCACTACAAATATATTCATTTTTTTTTAGTTGACAATGAAATCTGCTCCTGCAAGTAAAATAGTGCCATATTCATCAAGTAAACAGAGATAGTTATGCTATGGTGAGTCATAATTAAGATATACAGAGATGTGGATATAGAGAAAAAGTAAGAGGAAAGGAAAGGCAAAGAAACAATAAGAGAAAGGAAAAAAGAATCGTTATTTAAAAGAGTGAGAGAAAGGAAGAAAGAAAAAATGGCTGTTGATGGAGCATAGAAAAGATAGGGTTTCTTTTTCTTTTTTCTTTTTCTTGGATTTATTTAACCTTTACATCATATTGCGAATTATCTATTAAGTGAAGGGCATTATAGTCATATTATCATACCAAGGGAGGTTAGTGTAATTTTTTAAATTTGAAGGAAGCCGAGTGAAATTGTAAAAAACCTTAGTGAAGGTTAGTGAAATTATCCCTAGTATTAAAGAATGAACGACGTATGCAGCTCAGGCATCGTAAAAAGAGCAAACGCCAACCACCAGGAAACAAGCAGCTTAATCAAAGTTATTAATAATTTAATGGGGTTTAGTATGCTTAGAGTTAGAGGAAATCCTTTGTGGATTTTTAATTAAACTGATCATTGCGTAATCAGCACTTGACAACAAATAATCACCGGTCCATGGTTCAAAGACTCAGCCGAGATCGAGACGAAGGAGCTTTTCGTTCCAATATCGAGATGAGATGATTCCGAAATAATAGATTGTCAGGAATTCGATCGAGTTGTCACCGTAATGGGGCTTTCCGTTCCAATATCGGAATGAAATGATTTTGAGATAATGGATCGTCAAGAATTTGGCCAAGACGTCTTCAAAACGGATAGAAACGATCGAGTTATTTCTAGTAATCTCGAGTTAATTTGAATTTTTATTATTTTTGTTAATTTTTTATTATTTTTGTTTATTATAATTTTTAAAATATTAAATATTTTAAAAATTTGTGTCTCGTTGAGAACTCAACCGATATACCAATATCGATGTGGAATGATTCGAATCACTATGGCAACCACGACTTTGAACCATGATCACCACTCGTCCGAGTCAACTCACTGTAGTTTAGATTCTTCCTAGCTTGCTCTGTTCCTAGCACGGAACCAAGTCCAATCCCAATAAGCAAATGAATGGGCTATCCTGCCCACGACTGATCCTGAAACTGAAAGGGAATGAATGGGAAAAAGAATAGGCATGTCGTCGGATTGGGGGAGAGTTCTCTGAGCATTTTAGATCAAGAACGATAATACGCCGCCATGTGATGCGCCGCTTTTTCCTTCTGGTTAAACAGACAGATGCAGTCTGCTACTACTTCTCTTACGGTCAGGACTTTCCATGAAAAACTACTTACTAGTAATTGGTTGAGAACTTTTCAGTTAATTAGCAATTCGCAAGTAGTACAATAGACATGGTAAAAAAGGTCAAGAAAGAAAGAATCTCTTTTGCTGATGCAGTTAACAGCCTTTTTAATTCATGAAAAGCAACTCCTCTGTTCCTTACAATTTCTATAGAATGTGACTCGAGAAACCATTCCAACTGCACCATCATAGCTCTGTTGGCAACTTCTGACAGAACCCTGTTCCATAGTCGCGGCGAAAAATCCGATTGCTGCGCTGTTTTCATCCTGTAAAATTACCGATGTTTGCAATGTAGCGCGCCCCATGTCCGGATCGCTGAGCGCTTTGCTGGCCTTGACGGCTAGTACACAGAGATCTCGTAGAGAGAGAGGTAGTCGAAGCATTGGAATTGGCAGGAGGAAGTAAAGTTGGCCCGGTTGCAATTGCTCATCTTTAGCCACTGGGCCAGGGACTGCATTGACATTCATGGTTTCCGAGCTCGAAAGGAAGAAATTGGGGTTGTGGGATAGGATTTCCGCTGCTATTGTGGGCTGCCAAAGTTCTTGCAGCCTCCCATTCCAGTGAATTACCTGAGCTGCTGTGGGCAAATTCACCGGTATTCCGCCTTGTCTTGTGATGGGAGAAGAAACACACAGTCCCATGATCATATAGTATATGGTTTTGAGGGATGCGTCAAATTCCTTCCAGAATGGAATTTTAGAGAGAGAGAGAGAGATAGGGAGGGAGGGAGCGATCGAAAAATGATGGGGCGATGCAATTTTCGGAGGTTCTGGTCGCAAATTTATAGAGAAGTCCCCCAAAGTTGAATAAAACTAACTTTAAAAAGTGCATTTTTGGAATAATTTATTTTTTTAAAAAATTAGTGTGGCACTTTGTGGGGGAAAAAATGAACATGCAATTAAAACAGATGCTAGGCGAAGGATGATGCCAGTCATATTTAGACACCTAAAAAAAAAAATGCTTCTGGCATTCGACTATTATGTGCTATCTTGCCTCCAAAATATATATATATATATAATTTGGCCTAAAAAAATTCAAAAAATTTGTGAAGAGCCTAAAACACGGTTTGCTAGTATCATTACGCAACAACAACTACAGAAGACTAGTAGTAGTAGTACATCCCCAGCATTTTTTGTTTTCAAAGGTTTGGGGTTTGTTTGATTGACGAGTTGGTTAATCGATCCAGTCCTCCAGTTTGTATGTAGTGGCATTTGCGCGAGGTTTGACGCTGGTGGAGGGAGGGGCCGTCGATGCTCGATCCTACTATCACTTTTTCCGTGTCTGCTTATTAAAATCTCGTCAGTCAATTGGTGGACCGAACCACTGGGCCAATGGCTCCGTGGCCACCAGACAAGTTGGATTGTAGGTGAGGGTTCAAACATCATCTGCAGTGAAAAAAAAAATTTAAAAATTGTGTCATAATACTTCCTTAATCTAGTTAGGTTTATATACTCACTATCTTCTACCACAGCCTCTTTAAGCTCTCCCTTCCTCCTAGATTAAGATAGAGTAAGTTATATAAATATATTTTTGCTGATAAAAAAAAAAAAAGTCAATTGGTGGACCGATTTTGTTACTGCACTATTTCACCACCATAAACCAAAAATTCCATGTTTGGATGGATAATAGCTGGCAAGTTGAGCTATGACTAGAGTAGTAAAGTTAAAGAGCATCCACCAGCAATGGTTTGTGATACAAGTAAGTAGCAAGAGATCTCGAAATTTGAGATTTATATATATATATATATATATATATAAAATAAAAATCATTTCGAATTTACTGAAATCATCTCTGTCGCCACCATGACGGCATGATATGGTTCTGCAACTAGTATTCTCTAGCGAATTTATGTATATTTACTAGTAGTATTTGGCAAGTGTAGCCCATCTGAATTGCAATTTTTTTTTTGGAGGTTTTGCAGAAAAAGTATATTATAGTAATTTGATGTATGCAAGGTAAAAAAATAATTCAAAATATATTCAAAAAATATATAAAAAATTTTTAGAGAGAAAATTGCAATCCAAATCTTTCTGATATGCCATTTGTCGAACTGGTGCACTGGACTTCTCTTTATAAGGTTTGACATAATGTAATTGAACTTTTTGTTTGGATAGGAGTTTATTTGAAATAATTACTGTACCACTTTTTGTGATGTGATGTATGTGAGATAAAAAGATAATTGAGAAGATAAAAAGGTGATCGGATAGTAGATTATTCATCAAATTTATTAGTATATTTTTATATCATATATATCCAATCAAAAAAATGATACAATATTTTATTAAAAAATATATAATAATCTACTGCCCAGACACGCTCAAGATCTTGGCAAGACTTCTCCTCAATAATACTGGTCATGTCAAAATTGGGGTTCCCATGTCACTCTCTATCTGAATGTAGCATATAATATTCAATTTCTCGAAGATAAATACTAGCAGTTCATTTGCCCTTTTTGTGGGACGTAGGACTGACGCGGATCCATAATCTTTCCTTCCTAGCAGCCTCCCAAGTTCCAGATTCAAGGGAGTCTCATTGCTCATGCACGAAATATTCATAGTTACAGCCTACAGTTTCGAGAAACAAAAGCTTGGGCCATTATGGTTACCTGCGGCGATCGATCGTTTCACATTTCATTTCATGCATCGTTCTTTTTTCTTAGGGATGGCAATGAGGGCGGGTGTCCGCGGAGGGCTCTCGGGGTGGGGGGGAATTTTTTCCCCCCGCTTAGAAACGGGACCCCCGCCCCGTCACCCGCAAAAAAATAAATATATATATAATTATATATAATATGTAAGTTAATTAGTTATAAACTTATGATAATGATATTATTAGTTAGATGTATTATATAATGTATATTAGTTTATGTAATATAATTGATATTATCAATTATATGAATAATTATATATGTCTACTAATAGAATTTATTAATTAGTTATACTAAATTTACTAATACATTTATACTAAATTTCTAATTACACTTAATAGAATAACACTTTTTTTCTCAAAAAAAAGCACAAACACAATAATGAATTAGTGATTGCATTTGTACTAAAAGTGAAAACTTGACTATTTTAGTTATATTTATTTCATCATATTAGATTGTATTCAAATAACTTCTGGTTAATTGTTTTTATGAGTTTCAATTGTAAAATTACAATGAATAATAATTTGGTGATGTGTTGATTTTTTAATATTTGATTATTTATTAAAATTTAATTATAATAAAATTATATTAATTTCGCGGGTGCCCCCGCAGGAGAAACGGGGCAAGAGGAGGCGGGGCAGGATGGGGTGGGGGGAGTGGGAGGCGGGGATGGGGAAATTAATAGGCAACGGGCCCGGAGGGGCGGGGTCCCTATTTTTTCTCCGACAGAAGCAATCACTCTACTTTTGACTACTACTTTTTGTCCAGATTCAATATAGTCAGATATACCGGTGATTTCGACAGGTATTTCGTTGAAGCCATAACTTGGGAATTAAGATAATTTGACCGCTAAATTGATTTTGGGAGAGCGGATACGATATATTCTCGGATTAATTATGAGCAGTAATATCATAAATTGGAAAGAAAAGTACATACCCGGATTAGATCAAGTTAATTATTTTTGTTCAATCGTCTTGCCTAGTTGCCTTAATTCGAATCAATACACTAGGGTCTGCAACAAGGGCATCCACCTTCGTCATGGATCGAATGTTTTCCAGAGCAAGTCTCGTGAATCAGGAGCTCAACTACACCAATCTGGCCGGACGGATATAGATTCAGAGAACCTGCACCGGGATTGATTTTTTTACGGTATGATTAGCTTCATCCGTACAAGCAACATCCCTTTCTCTGTCCCCTTTTTGGCCACTTTAAAGTTCCTAATTGACCGGGAAATGACCGAGTCAAAAATTATTATTGCTATGTTCGACGAGCAGAAATCCTTGATATAGAAAGAAAGAAAAGTTGCATATCGGTTTCACAACTGGCCGTGGTTCATGGAACATGGGGACGGGGAGGTGGGTCTGGATCTTGAGACTCCAAGAGAAATCAGAAACTAGAAATGGAATACGGGCCGGGCCAGTTGCCAAGACCAACAAAGGGTCAAGAAAATCATGTGAACTAGGGAGTTGTAGCAATAGGATGCGAAAATTTCTATTCACAGAAAAAGGAAGAGAACAAAATGACGGTTAAAGATGTGTACCGCGTATGATGTGAAAGTTTCCCGTGGCTGCTTGACAAAGAGATTAGGCAAGCATTTGAGGACGAAATCCTGGAATTTGTCAAAATTATAGTTACATGCAGTCATGTTGATTTAAAAAGTAGACCGTTCATGCTAAAATTGAATTTGAAACCCAATTACCAAACATCCCCTAAATATGCATTCAATGTTACGTGCCACATCAATAGTATTAATAAGTGGAACTACGTAATTTTGCATTGGACAGATATAATGGATAGAGGATCCCATCTCAAACCAGAAGAACCTATTTAGCCTATGTTTTCCTGGCCCTGGATGTGTGACAAAGTTTTTCACTTTTAACTTTGCTTGAATCGAGAAACCACTTTCTGAATTGAGTTGTGCTTATTCTCGTGATTCAGTAGCATTTTTATAGTTTTATTGTGTTTTGATCCGAGCGAGATTTTTAATTTTCTTTGTACGATTTTAACACAACTGCTATACAACATGAAAGTTTCAATTCTACACTATTGCCGAGTGGTAAAAAGTCGTTGGTGAGCCTTTGACAAGAGTTTTGGTGTTTCTCCTCCCCTAGTTTCAATCCCACATCGATTCTTAGTGGTGTGCGTGTGTTCTACTTAAGATTCTCGGTGTAGTCTGAAAGTCAGCATGCCTCTTGAATTGGGCCGTGGGTTCCCCTTAGATAGAGAGTGTGTGTGTGTGTGTGTTTCTACATATTGCTGAGGGGCTATACGTCCTCCACGCTAATGCATAACAGCTCAGTGGACAGTCCTCGTCATAATCTAGTGGAACAAAAATTTGAGAGGCAAATTTGGAATATTCTTCTGTAAAATAAATCGTAACACTTTTTTGTTCGAGATAAAAAATAATTAAAAAATATATTAATATTGTGGGAAATTAATGGATTATTTTTCATCTATAAATATTTAATTGAATACAAAGATGTAGCTCTAGGCTTATAATCATTGTAAACATTTAATAATCATCTCAAAGAATATTTTTCAATTTTCTCAATATGCTTTGTGATATTTGATGAATATTATTACATTACGTGTCAAACTTTTTAAAATATTTTATAATAGTTGAACGTTTAGAGCACATTATATTTCTAATATTATTGATATTTTATCTTGAATTATTCACCCTTGCACAAATTCACTGCTAATGAAAAAGATCAAAAAAAAAAAAAAAAAAAAGGAAGAATCCGTGCATGACTAGTTCTCAATCTGAACGCGAAATAAGACCAAGCGAAGAAATGTACTGTTCCGTCCCAAGTCCAAGTATAGCACGAGCCCACTAGGCCCAAAATAAATTTCAATTGCACAGTCTTAGAGTGTATACTGGGCATTTCGTTAAATGCCACATGCTAATAGGTCGCTAAAGAGTCGTTTTTTTTTTCCTCTTTAATTTTCAGTCAAAAATGAAATTAAGTATAGGACATCAAAATTTTTATGGTATTAATGTATAATGTTAAAAACTATATGTTTGGGTAGAAAAAAAAAATTATTATTATTTTTTTGGGTGGCATTACACTTTTGGCATTTATTTCTATGAATTGGGTTACAATCAAACAGAAGACTATAGTATTGCATTGTTTCTAGGATCTTGCAATCTAATCCATAATTAACTATTAAAACAATCCAACTAATGATCCTATTAGCATTTCTCTGCATTTACCTATTACATCCCCCATGTATAATCACTTTTAAAACCATTAAAAGAGGAAGAACAAGCACTACAATTAATCATTATGATACTGCCATCTATCTATATTGGTTGATTTGCAGCATTTATTCTGAATATCTTTTGAGAGACAAATTAAACCAAAGAAGCTGAAAAGATACTCAACATTTGAAATATTGCTATAAAATTCATAAAATGAAGTTAGGTATCCCAAACATGATGAAATTAAAATAATAGTACACAAAAAGTAGAAAATTTTTAGGTATATTTTTTTTTCCATGATATTCAAACTTTTTAAGTGTTTTCAAGGTACACTAAATTGGAGCATTTTGTGTTCCATGTACAGTGTTGTTAGTGATTCTTAATTAGAGAGAGGTTCACAAATTGTTTAGGATTTTTTCTAATCTTATTTTGTCTACACCGATGTCACGACAACCATTAAGAGCAGCAACGGTTGTCCAGGTCCCGAATCAGGAGTGCAATTGAAGTACAAATGCAAATTGAATTCCATATGCAATTCACAAGATTAGCTTTCATGAAGATGCGCGTGAAGCCTGACCTTTTTCAAAGAACAGAGCTTCAAAACTACTTTGAGAAGAAGGACTAGCACAAACAGATAACTAGCAGCTGCTAGAGAAAATGGGCATAACAGATTAACAAGAGACCAAATGCCGGAACCAGCTGATCTCTCCAGTGTTTTTTCAGAGTCCTGGGAGTCCTTATTACTCTTCCGCTTCAAGTATCACACTCAACGTTGCAGCAAACTTGCTCACTTTCGATTTGCCTGCTCCTCCGTCTACAGCCGGTGGTCCTCCCCTCTTTACCAACCTCAAATCGCAGTAATCAGCCTGGGGAGTCGTTGTTGACCTCACCTTCACATTTTCTTCATGGAAGAACGCTAGCGGATCCTCAACAGCAACCCTTCTAGGTCTATAACAATACTTGTCCATTTGCTGTTCGCTTCTCATACTCAGAGCTACGCTCGCTTTAACAGCCAGAGAAGCCATATCCTCGGCTTGAAGCCGGTGCGTCAGAAATATCAAGGGCAGCTCAAAGTAAAGCTGGCCCGGCTGCAGCTCCTCATCCCCGTTTACAGCTGAAACTAGGCCATCAAATTCCATTTCGTCAGCGTTGCATATGAAGAAATCAAGATTTCTCTTTGGCAAATTCGAGACCTTCATAGGACAGGAGAATTCTTCGAGTTTACCATCTAGCAGAATCAGTTTGGCCGTCCTCATGGACCCCCTCCTCCCATATGAGGTACAATTTCCCATCTCTGAAGTATGTGCTCTGGCAAAATAGTATATTGATCGATGCAATAGCAAGCTATGTAGGTGTTACGATTCAATGCATATAATACGTATATACTTACGTGCGTTTTTTGTTCGTGCGAGAATGTTTGAGAATGAGATGTTTTGGTTGTCGTGGATTTATGGGCGCTGATTTGTTCAAGATTGTAGAGCGAACCTGGAGAAGGAAGGAATTCTTAGGCAGGCACGCGTTTTGCTTGGAGCCTCGAGATATATTTCACAATTCACACCTGGTAGAATTTAATCATCTCACAAAGAAATGGTAGGAGAAGATGTTATCTACTTCGTATTTCCTGTACGTCTGAACGTACTTTCACGTAGTTTTTCGCGTCCGTCGTGTTTCTTGACGGATCGTTTTCAGCAGGACTAAATTGTGGTCAACTATCAACATATCAGCTCAATAATAGTTTTATAATTGACTTAGAGCTGGAAATTTTTGACGAATATATTCTGATCCGACGTTGAATTCGAGCGTTTTTTTTTTTTTTTGGGTTTTATTCTTTTGTTTTCTAATCATCTGCTTGTGAAAGTTTTCGCGCAAGTATTAGCAAAGATTAGATCTAGAGTGTGAATTCGAGTTGCTTTTATAGACAAAATTAGATTCATATAGCGATCATCAGTGCCAAAATTAAGAACCAGCAAATCAAGTTACAGCTGCATGATATTCCTCTTATTATTAAACTTGAATCTGGTGATATTAATTTGGCAATATTAATCAGAAGAATAACTGTGATCTTCGTCGAACAACGTGACCTGCGATCTGACGTAAAACCAGACAAATATCAGCAGTTCACTCACTGAGTAAGCAAACGGTAACAATTAAAGTTTTCATCCTATTTTGATATAAGTGAACCAACAACCCCCGCAATCAGAGTGGTAGGATCCCCAAGAACGGCCGAGATAACAAACTGCAAAGCCAAACCAGCAATCTCGCAACATTTCTGCACCTTACCTTTGCTTCTGCGGTGGTAACTCTGCAATGTACCTCTCAGGCTGGGAATCCTAGTCTCCAGTTTCCTAGTCCCATTTCTTGCCCCAAAATATATTTCATGCCAACTTTCCACCAGCATCTCCTTCACGCACGCAACGTGCAGATTATACTTCTTGCAGGTGGATCGGTAGCTCCAGCTCCTCCCTTTCCTCCCGCACCGGTGGCACGAGGCACCAACCTTCCTGTACAGGTATAGCTTAACTTCACCGTCGTCAAGCGCCATGGGGAGCTTGGCGCAGCAGGGGTGGAGATCGAATCCGCAGGACTTGCAGTGGTAGACGAAGCCCGTCACGTCCTTCTCGCAGGCGTTGCAGTAGCGGGGGATGTTGCCGGGGGGTCGAGGGAGGAACTGGAAGGAGCATTTGGTGTAGAAGGGATGAGTGATGGAGGAGGAGGGAAGAGCGCAGTGCATGTGAAGATCGTAGTCGCAGATGCTGCATTTGTAGCGTGACCCGATGCCCACTTCTTTGCAGCCGTCGCACTTGAATGGGACTTCTGTGTACTCGAATTTCAGCTTGTGTTGAGGGTGGCTGAAGTGAGGAATTTCGTTGTATCTCATTGTAGCTTTTTTTTTTTTTTTTTCCTTTCCTAGAGGCACTTGTTGAAACTCAAAAGAACTTAGGTGTTTGAAACTTATATAGAAAAAGGTGATTCTTGGCACTTTAGGCTTTAGTTAATTAAATCTAGATCCATTGGACTTCTAAGTTTTGGGTTTTTTTTTTTTAACTAATTAAGGTTACCGGTGGCTTGAGGATGAAGCAACTGAGGAATTATGCGTGGAGATGGTGGCGATCATGGTGATAATTGAGTGTAGAAGACGAGAATCTTAACGTCAAGGGAATTAAGAGGACAAACATAAGGGACTTTGGCTAATGCCCCACTTGGGAATAGGAATTTTCACTTTATATGGTATCCCAATTTGTTGAACTGTGGATTCGAATATTGATGGGAAAAAACCCACAAAAGATATCTGAAGAACTTATATAATTTGAGTAAAAATACTAGTAGTTATTGTATTTGGCGTCAAAGAATATGAGATCCCCCTTTTTTTTTTTACCCCTTTCTGTGTTTTTCTTCTTTCTTTGGTTTTTTTTTTTTTGGGTCTCTAAGTTGAGTAGACACCTTGACTGACCAAATTCTAATGTATATTTAGGAAATCCTCACTTGTCAAAACAGAGGGGGAGGATTGAGTTGGGTGGTACGGAGGAGGGAGTGTAAGCAAGAGGTCTTGGGTTCGAGTGCTCTCGCTTACATTAAAAATAAAATAAAAATAAAAATAATAAAAAGTGGAACAGAGAGTGGCTCGCTTACATTAAAAATAAAATAAAAATAAAAAATAATAAAAAGTGGAACAGATGGTGGCACAATGTGCGGGACATAAGATCCGTTGCGCTTTTATCACTGTATTAATTAGGGCAGGAACATAACTTTTAGATTCTTATTTGATGCTCCGGTGACATCTTAAGAAGCACAGGAGGAGCGAATAAGAACTTGGCACCCTTGAACTTACAGACGCAATTGACATGACCAAGAATGTGCTTTAAAGTGTCGTAGGAGCATTAGATTACTTTGTTTCTTGGAGTGAAGCTGATATGCAGGAACCGATTCCTTGAGGTAATTTTGCTTAAGGAATACATTTCACTTTTGGATGTCCACTTAGCTTAATTGCAAGCTACATCTTTTGGCATCTTCCTGAGTTGGGCATCAATTTCTTGTTATCCTACTTGTCATGCTTGTGTGGCCATCAAGGCCTTAGACTATGCTCATATGGAAACGGATAACTGATTCTTGGCAAACAGTACGGATGTTTGCTTTAGCTTTGCGAATGAGTCCACAGGATTTATGCTTACACGGAATATAAACCCCAAACTAAATCATTTGCTTTCTTCTTCAGTCTCAAATACGTTAAGGAAGTGTCAGTTTATTGAAGCAACCCCTTGTTTTTTTCTCCGTAAAGAGGGTCAATAGTAATTCTTTACTTGCTCCCTTAAGAATCCAAACTCGAAAGTTTTGATAAATTCTGGATTGCATATATGATACAACCCGTCAACGATACAAAAACTTGGAGAAGATGCTACTGATTTTTTTCCATAATACAATCGAACTATATTCAACCATACAAATCTGTTTGACTTGGATTACTAATGAATTGCTCTCAAAAAAAAAAAAAAAGAAGAGAGAGATTACTAATGAATTTCTTGAGTTATCATAGTAACTGATATCAAATGGAACGAAATTTCGAACATTCAAACAATTCCAAATACTAATAATCTTTTTCATCTTTTGCTTTCCGTTGGACTTGGGGGGGGGGGGGGGGGGGCTTAAATAAGGGATGGTAGCGTATCTCACACTTTGTTCTCGAATACTAGATGTTGGAAAAATGTGCATCAAACAAAATTATTGTCTAGATAATGTCAGGGGGTTTCTTTTTATCTTTTCTTCATCTGCTTTTTCTTTTGTCTCTTTTGGTACAAAGAAACATCTGGAATATTTAAACAAGTGAAAGTGATGATATCCATTACCAATTTGAAACTTGGTACTTGCACAATCGAATAAAAGCACAAAATGAATATGGTTCTGTGTTCCCTTGGCCAGTTCTTCTTCTCTCATCGCTAGGCTGGATTCTTTGTGCACTCTTTAATGCTACAGGCTAGACATGCATGATTACCGTCTCTTAATCACATCTTTCTGATCTCCTATGTATACATTGCTTTCTTTTCATGAGCAGGAAGAAAGGGAAATTGAATTATTGTGATTCTTGAGCATCACAATCCTTGATCAGCTTGTCAACTTTAAATAATTCAATTTGCCTTTATGGACCCGTGGCGCCCCATCACATGCTTCATTCAGGTAGCGAGCTTGATACAAGACAGCACTTGTTCAATTTGTTGCAAGGCAGGCCAAAGCTCAACCGCCCGTGCTGGGGTAGCTCGATCGGTTTTCGCTCGAAATCTTTACTCCAAGGTCTTTAGTTCGAATTCCAGTTGTTACTGTCTGGACGCTATGGAATTAGTCAGATGTAAACTTGAACGCTCATAATGTCGAAAAAAAAAGGGTAAAGCTCTGCCCAATTGGCATTTGCATCTTATTTTCATTTTTTGGTTGCATGCACTTGGCATCTTATTTTCAAATAAATATAACGAGAATCAAATGATGCATTTCTGATGCATCTGTTAATTTTTCTTGTAAATTTTTTTTCTAGGATGGAAGAAGGAAGGAAGGAGTGCGACTTCTTGGTAAACATGTTCATGTGAATTTAAGAAGAAAAAAAAGTTTGGTTGTTCCAATTCTAATTTTCAGGTCAAGGCGGCCTTTCAAGATCATGAACATTATTCATGAATATAGCACTCATATCACCGGTGGAACTCGAATTCTACACCTATTTGAGTGTATTTAGTTCACCAATGAGACGGGATTTTACTCATCCTGATTTCCCTCTTGTCACCAATTTGATTATGATTTTTAATTTTTTTATATATATACATATTGTCTTCATTTGACCGTCAAAGTACGTCATGTATCATTATTGGACTGGGCCAAGAGATTTTTTAGCTCGGCGGGCTTGAAACTTGTCAAAAATCTGGCCCATAGTTCCCAATGGACAACCTGACCAATCTTTGTTAGACACTTCACTTTTTTAAGAGATGGGCCTAATGGTCCAGCCACTGATACCGCCAAATCCAGATTCCAAAACCAACGCCGATGAATGTTTGCCTTGACCCGCCTCCAAAACCATTGTAAAGCATATCGGGTCCGAATTTCTCTTCCCGCGAATGAAACTTTGACAGCAAACTGTTCGATGAAATTCCCCAATGAGCTGCAGTTTGCATCTGGCGCTTTCTTCCGCCATTTCCAAACTCCTACCCTTGTTAAATCTTCATTTATCAAACACAATTCCTTCAGCAGCTCTTCTCCTTCTTCGTCTTCTCCAAGTCCTTCACCACCATGCCATCAAAATCTTGTCTCAACGGCCATCTCTATCCTGAAGCACCACCGCTCAAAATCCCGGTGGTCTTACCTCCGCTCTCTTCTTACCTCAAGCAACGAAGCCCTCACTCCATCTCAGTTTTCGCAAATAGCCCTCCAACTCCGTAACAATCCTCACCTTGCCCACAACTTCTTCCTCTTCACAGTCCGTCACTCGCTCTGTTGTCATTCTCTCCTCTCCTACGCTACCATTATTCACATCCTCTCTCGATCACACCTCAAAGCACAAGCTCAAGAATTAATCCAATCCGCCATTCGTAAATTCCCTGACCCCTCTCTATCAAGCCCACCTCCAATTTTCCAAACTTTGATCAGAACTTATAGGATTTGTAACTCAGCTCCATTTGTATTTGATTTATTAGTCAAAGCCTGCATAGAGTCTAAAAGAATCGAGCAGGCCACTGAAATAGTTAGAATGTTAAGGTCCAAGAAGATATGTCCAAATATCAGCACTTGTAATTCTTTAATTGAGTTAGTTTCGAAAAGTAGGGGCAGTTTTGCTGGTTACGATTTGTACAAGGAAATTTTTTGTTCTAGTGAAAAAAATGTGAATGAGAATGGTAAAAGGTTAAAAGTTTCCGGTCCCAACTCGAATACATTTAATGTTCTTATGGTTGGGTTTTTGAGAGATGGCTTAGTGGAAAAGGTGGAGGAGATATGGAGGGAAATGGCAGCAATGAATTGTGTGCCAAATGCATTTAGTTATAGTGTGCTGATGGCAGCATATTGCGAGAATGGGAGAATGAAGGATGCTGAGAGGGTGTGGGATGAAATGGGGGTTGAGGGTCTTCAGCATGATATTGTGGCATATAATACTATAATTGGTGGGTTTTGTGAGATTGGAGAGGTTGGCAGAGCAGAGGAGAAGTTTAGAGTAATGTCTTTGGGTGGCTTCGAGAGTACTTGTGTTACATTTGAGCATCTTATAAACGGGTACTGTAAGATTGGGGATGCTGATACAGCGATCCTGTTGTACAAGGATATGTGTAGGAAGGGCTTTAGGCCTGATGGTACAACAGTTGATGCAATGATAAAGGCACTTTGTGATAGTAGCAAGGTTTCTGATGCCTTGGAGATAATGACAATGGCAATAAAGAATCCTAATATCTTCCCTCAAAGGAAGAGCTTTGAGTATCTAATTAAGAGCTTGTGCCAGGTGGGGAGCATGGAAGAAGCTCTGAAGCTTCAGGCGGAGATGATTGGCAATGGTCATGAACTAGATGAAGAGATCTATGGTGCTTTCATTGATGGATATGTCAAACAAGGAAATGAGGAGATGGCACAAAGGTTGAGGGTAGAAATGTTAACAATTTTAATCCCTGCTCAGAAGGGCTAGATGAAGATTGTGCTTCCTATTTGTTCATTTGTATTATTTGCTGGATTTGAAGTAACATCAGAATTCAAGCACAGGAACACACATTTTGGTTGTGCACTGCAGTAATGGAAACTTGCTGGAACTGTTTTGTCTGAATATACGGGCCGCAATTTGGTAGAGGTGATATCATTTTCCTGAACTACATAGTTTGATGAATTTGGTTATGGTGAATAGCATTCTAATTTCATTTTAAAATGTAATTGGGTACATGCCATTGCTATGCAACTAGCTGAATGTTTTCTTCTTTTGCTATTGAGGACAAAACGTTGGCTTCACTGTTGCTGTGTGATAATGATCTTGTCTTTGTGGTTTTTGTATTTCACGATGCTGTAATGTGGATGCTGCCAAGCTTAGCAATAGAGTTAAAATCTGGGAAGGGACATGAGCTAAAATGCCCCTCAAACCATTTTCCTTTCTGGACTTTTACATGGGTCATCTTAATAGAGAGAACAGATTGCCACTGCATTGGTATCCGTCAGTTGGTTTTGCAGACCATTACCGACTCTGAAACATGTCTTTACAGATCATTGGTTTTGCACTGGTTAAACACATTTATTAAGTCTTGGAATGAAAATGAGTTTTCATGCACTTGTTCTTGTGGATGTAGCAACGATGATACTCTGGGTAAGCGATACAGTTTTTATCAGTCTTGAAGTAATTATTAAGTATCTTATAAATGGTAAAATAGTTCATTTTATGTTTTATTCCTTTTGTTTTCAGTTGATATGTGCTTCTGTCAACCTTTTTTTTTTTAATTTCTAAATTTGACCTTATTTTCTGGTTGCAGGCGGCATAATGTCAAACCAAGAGACCTATCAGAACCATGGATGTTGTACTTTGCCTACTAAAAAGATTCTGTCAATTTGGTCAGTTTATTACTCTTGTTGATCATTTTGTACTGCAAAATCATTTAATCAATTTCCTCATGTACGGGGATAATGTTGGCAGAGACAAAATGAAATACATTTTGTGGGGTAAAATGAAATACATTTCAGTAGGATAAAATGAAGTTTATTTCAGAACAAACGCAAAATTCTACTGTTCATTCTGGTCATAGTCTGGCCTTTCATCCCATTAGTAATGCTTCTGCACTTGCACAAATGAATCAAATAAAGATCAAACGCCTTAAGTTGTCGTATGACTTTTACTTGAAGCATTGTCTGTACATACTGTCAAATTTGTCAGAATCCTGTACTTGTAAGATCTAAAAATAGCAAGGAAGAAAAAGTAGTAGCAAATGCTACAGCAGACAGTAATTGTTGATGTCTGATGGTAGGACCAGCTATACAAATCATAGAGAGGGAAGTAGCCAAAGATTAAAAAGCGAAGATGCTAGAGAGAAGATCCAAGATAAGAAGGCCAACAAGGCAGAGATCAGATATCTACTGCAATACTGGGGGGGACAGAAAGACTCATCGGCCTGGAGCAAGAGATCCACGATACCGGCTGTTGAGCTAGCTGCTGCCAATGTGAGGATTGATAGAACCTGTTCATATGATACTAGGATTAGCTCTGTCACAACCACCGCCATATATCATTTTAATGCTTTTGAATATGCTAGGAGCAGATCATACCCAATCACCTATAACAATGACCAGCAATATCCCCAGCTGCCGAACAGGGCATTGGACCAGTATGAAGTATCCATCCAGCAGAGCTAGAGTGAAGCTCCACGGAATGACCAGACCCATGACTGTTACCAAGAAACTGGAATTTCACATGCAATTAGGAGGAACATATTGCTTTTAGCAGAGAGGATGGAAGTCATAGGAAGAAATGCAGAAAAAGAAAAAGAATAATAGGATGCGGTTATGGTTGTATTATGTTGCAAATTCCATTAATACCATTTCTGCAAGCATCGTTTTTAATCCTGGCCCCATTACACTGTTATTCTTGATTGATGTCTTGATGAATGCTTCTTTCTTTTCTCAACCACACCCAGCCTTCCCTCTCCCCCCCCCACCCCGGGCCACCCCTCTCCTTTCGCAGTTCTCCTCATTCGTAGGTAACGTTCACTTCTTGATGGGTATGAATTTTATTTTTGGTTCCCCTTTGAAATCCAGAACAGGCGAGGAAAAGAAAGCATACAAAGATAGAAGATATCATATAGCAGTTCGAAAGAATCAAGCCTCAACCAGAACTAACATGGAGGAGGAATTACCAAAAGGCAGTATAGCTGTAAAAGTCGACTCCCAAAGACATGGAGAGAAGAGAAGCAGAGGAAAAGATAGCCTGGCCCAATCTCAAAATAAAGCTGGCGCTGGTCCCCATGGACCCTGGAACGTCTTGTATGGCCATATGATGAAAAATGGATGTTGCTGCTGCTGCTGCAGTTGCATGGAGTGGGATAGAAATCCCAGTTGCGAGCTTAAAATGATGACAGAGATGATGATACTGTCAGTGAAGAATATAGATCATGTTGGGGACCTCCCCTCTTTCCCAGGCTCTGCATTCTTGTGACTTCGGTATTCAATTTTGAATCTTTGCCTGGGCGAAATCATCATCAAACTCCGATAGATAATTTAGTTGTGATGTACAGCAGCATGGGAATCACATGCATAGACCTTGAGGAATCTGCTTCACAGTATGTTGCCTCTGCTTCACAGTATGTTGCCCTTTCTGATTTCTGAGTTTCGAGATGTACGCTGCTTTTGGGGAAAGGATAGTGTGTATTAAGGAGGAGTCCGTGGGTTGTGAGACTGTTGTGCGACTAGCGATGCGAGGGATGAAACTACCTGTCGTCTATGTCTCCAGTTCTTCTTCTGCCGTTTTTCGGCTCTCTCTCTCTCTCCAGAGAACTCCTCTTTGACGCAAGGAAAAGGTAGCTTAAACTATTAGTAGTAGTTAGGAGGAGGAGTTTCTGACTTATTACTTCTCATCTCAGGTGGAGTTTAGATTAATCAAGTGAAGTGTGTGTTTCTTCTTAAAGTCAATTTTGGTGAGTGAAAATGTTTTTCCAACGGACGAGCCAACGCCCTGTTTCTGTAGGATTTGACTCTTGGATTTCCTCACCCTCTTGTCAGGAGTTTCGTCCCTTTTTTCTTTTTCACTTTCAACTACTAGTAGTAGGCGTTTTTCCTTCAAAAATTGTATGAAAGATGTGTATAAATACACAAGACTGAATGAACAGTATCTGGATTTGTGGACCAGTGAAAGTTGCTCTTCTTGGCGCTCTCTCTCTCTCTGCCGACATTGCAAACGGGAAGGGGCTTTTAACCCAGCAGTTTACAAATGCAGGAGGGAACATATAATTACTCTAGTGAAAAGAAAAAAATTCCCCCCCCCCCCCCCCCCCCCCCACCTATATACACAACGTAAAGCTTCACGGAAGTTCTTCGTTTTTGGGACGAGTTCTTCGAAAACATCCATCATATGGTGTATCGTCATATAGTAATTGTCCTTAGTTTCCTGCTGCTTCAAATTCTTTATTGCAATTTGCATTTTCAGTTGCAGCAAAGAATTTCATAGTTCGGTGTTTGTGTGAACTGTCCAATTTCACAACAGTGTTTTTGTATCGTTACGGCAGTCTTTTGCCTCTAGCTATTCAAATTCTCAATTGCCGAAAGACTAAACCAAAAAGGTTGGCATCAGCTGACTAGGGCAGTAAATCTACTGCCACTTCAAAAGAAGGCAAATCCCTTAACACGCTTGCATTCGAGAGACTCGACTGGAAAAATTTTTGAAATAACCTCCAAAACATTTCCCAATTACTTTTTTTTCACTTCGTACGCATAGCGTCTCAAACAAATGTTTTAACTGTAATAATCCATTTTCAATTTGAATATTCAAAAGTTTAAAAAAAATCACGTTGATGGTTCTTCCCTTCATTGAATAGACTTTCTTTTTTTTTTGGTCAGCAACGATACATTTGTATAACCTACTCTATCCTAATCTGGGGGGAAAGGAGAGCCTAAGGAAGCTGTAATAAGGAGCTAGTAGATATACAGACCCAACTAAACTAAGGAAATATTATAACACAACTCTTAGATTTTTTTCGCTGCAGGTGAAGTTTGAACCCTCACCTATAATCCAAGGAAAAACTTAAGTCCCTGCCTGATGGCCACGGAGCCATTGGCCCAGTGGTTCTTCATTGAATATACCAAAAAGGTTCAAAACAAAATTCTAAAAACAACATGCTGCAGAAGCAGGGAAGTACGTCACTTTCACCACTAACATGCGATGCCAGGAACACCACAAATTCAAGTCAACTAAGACATGAATGACTGAATGAACATTCAATAAACTTGAAGGTCTAAGCCAGCCACTTGTAACCAATTTAATTAAAGAAAAGAATATTACATTCAATCCCACGTGCTTTATGTGTTTAGATAGGGATTATTTGGGATCATTTTTTGAAAAGAAAATACTGTTAACACTTTTCTGATGTCATGTATGTGAGAAAAAATGATAATTAAAAAATGTGTTTATGATGCAATAAAAAAAGTTGGTGCAAACAACAAACTCTCCAAACAAACCAGGATGGACACGGGTAGCAACCACAGCCAATTGCCTGCCCCCCTGTCCAGCCCTCAGTTTTAGATGATACCCTTGAAAAACTACGTGAAACAATCTCCAAAAGCAACAAAACCGGAAGAGTGCCTCAATCTCAATGCATATTTACTATACTATAAAAGTGAACCAGAAAAGCATCATCAAATTTTCCATCACTAGTACACCAGAGTATGTGCTAAGCTCATAATTCTTAATTTGAAGTCCAGAAGACAATTGATCTAGGGAAGTTAATAAAGAAAAATGCATAAAAACCAAGGGCTGCTCTTCACTCGGCAATTCTCCACTCTGAGATCAACTGCAGAGCACAAAACAATTGATTATCAATACCAGCACATGTAGGAAAGTTTCAAGCTAAACCCCAGAGAAGTAGATCAAATTACATTAACAGGAAGATCAGGAAAATTTACATATAACAGCTCAAGGAACTGATTAGCAACAGAAATTTGCCAGGGACAAACCAACAATTTCCACTTAAACAGTTAGCCAAAGAGCGTACTACAAATACTACCTGATGCATATTTATGCAGTGAGAATATGGGACATTGTAGAAGGGGGAGAGAGAGGGTTTGTGTTACCCTTGGAACAAAATTATGCCATGTTCAGGGAGCTTAACGGCATCCTGATAGTCCAATGACATAATAGGAAAGAAATTTTGTTCCAATAATGGGATGTATGATCTGACAAAAGGAAAACTCATGGGAGCAATCTGCAATCACTATGTTGTATGATGTTCTAACTGATTAAATTCCGGGTCCATTTTGATACTCCTATCAAGAGAAGAAACTAACAGGTGTTTATAACAAGAAGTATTCCTACAACTAAAAGCCCCGTTTGGCAAGTGAGTTTTTTATGAGTTTTGTATGTGTTTGTTTAAAACTTTACTGTAGAAGTTGTAAAAAAAATTTTTGAAATGGGTAAATTTTTGAATATTTTGAAGTGTATAGTTTAAAAACTTTGAGAAATTTTTTGAGGTTATTGTAATTAAAGTTGTTAAAAAACTTGTGGAGACAAACTTGGCCAAAAACTTGCTTGCCAAACAAAATTTGATATAATTAACCAAGACAGAATGACTATCAGAAGTACTAATCTAGGGCAAATGCTTAACCTATAATCTCAGTATCAACTTTTGAGCACCCTGTTTTCTTTCAAAGCCAGTCTGGCAATCAAACTCTGTACACCCTTGACCAATACGAGAAACATAGTACCGCCCCAAAAATGTATTGACGAAAATAATCATGGCCTACTCTTCGCGATTGGAACCAATTTCAGAGATAAATCAAACGCTGTAAAGACACAGGTAAATGTTCTCTCAACACGAGATGACCGATGCAACTTCTTAGGATTATGAAACGACAGCTTTCACATCACATTACATGCTTACACTGCCAATCACAAAATTTCACCCACCCCGAAAGTTTGAATAATTTTAGCAAAAGGAAATCTCAACGAATAGAATCCACATCTCGTTGCTACAGAAAACTGACATCCCTAATACCCAAAAAGGCAATTAACCAACCATAAATTATTGGCAAATTGCTCTGAAATCAGACCAGATTTTAAATTTTTTTTTTTTGAGTGTTTGTTGGGGAAGAAAAGGGGGGGGAGGGGGAGGAGCCAGCCTACAAGAAGAACTATATTTACTTCAAATTCAGATGAAACCGTAAAATACCTGAGACAAAAGAGACGAGAAATTAAAAATCGAGGCTCAGCTCATCCCTATCACCGGAGAAGTAGTGGAGGACGTAAGGGGTTATTCGAATGACAACGACCCAAGCTCCGAACATGGCGACGTGGGACTTGAGCTGCTTCAAAGCCTCTGCTTTGTCTGGTTTCTTAATAAACATTCCTGGAAACATCTTTGCAAATCGATATCTGCTCTTTTTCTTCAACAATCAATCTAAGAGAAAGATAATACGACACCAGTTCATTCATAACCCCTATTTAAAACCCTAGATCTCTTTCCGCCCATTGGTTATGTGGCCTTTTGGAGGGGAAGAACAGTTAGGGCTGGGCTTGGGCCCAGTAAAACGTCCACGTAAGTTCATACTTAGGCGCCCATTCGATGTACATGAACCAGGTAACCGGGATTTAACTTCCCCCTAACAACAAGCAATTGTGATATAATGGTCCATGTCTTCCAACCCAAACAATAAATGGGAGGAATGGTGTCGGCCGATAAGTCCAATTCCACTAAAGAAGTTCCAATCAGGCTGACAACGCTGTCCAAACCGTGCATCTTTTTTTTTTTTTTTGTCAGCAACGATACATTAGTATAACCTACTCTATCCTAATGAGTACTACGGCACAAACCTTAGATTTTTTTCGCTGCTGGTGAGGGTTCAATAGCCCAAGAAGGGACTTAAGTCCCTCCCTGATGGCCACTAAGTCATTGGCCCAATGGTTCCAAACCGTGCATCTTTAGGAGAGGTTTTTTTTTCCCCCTTTTTTTTTCGCTTAATGAAGGAAAATCCATACTGCCCATAGAGGCACTTGAAGTTTAAAAGGGCTGACCCATGAGGAGGGCAACCTGGTTACAGAAATCCAGAATAGGAGTACTAATAGAGTGTCTTAAATCACGCTCAATGTTTTGATAACTGGATTAAATTTTAGGATTTCCTTTTAGTCTTTTTTGGGACCATTATAAGCTTACAACTAATGGCACAAAAGGAAACTCAGACATTAACCGCTGTGTATTAATACCACACTTGAAAATTTAAAAAAGTGATCACTGAGTGTTAATACTCCCTCCGTCCCACTTTGATAGTCATGTATTCCTTTTTCATCTGTCCCAAATTGTAGTCCACTTTCCAATTGAAGAATGTAGTTGTATTTTAATTTTTCTAAAATACCCTTATTCAATGCAAGTAGTTGTTATTATAAACCTATCTCATTTAATGAGAGTTGATTCTTTTTTTACCATCAATTCAAGTTCCCATAAAGTTGTACCATATTTAATGTGAGGGTATTTTAGGAAAATAGCAATCTAAATTTACTTTTCTAATAAAGTTAACTACTTTTTTTTAAACTGTGTGAAAAAAGAAACAGGACTATCAAAGTGGGACGGAGGGAGAGGGAGTAACAAATACTAGTAAGCCTCTCACTTTGTGCATTTTGTAGATGTTGCTTTGTTATTAGGGCTCAATCCAACTTGGGAATGGTGATAATCAATCGGATTTTTCTTGGATATCTCACAGCCATATCGGTCTCACGTAAATATGTCATGGAGGCAAGCTTGTGCATTCAATTGGAGGACCAAACCGTATATCCCAAAAAGTCGAGATCAATCCCCTTGGCATCCCTCAGCAGTTTTGCCCCGAGCTTACCAATTTTAGGAACTTGTGGTCAATCCCATGCTCCTATTGGCAGTTTGGCACCAAGCTCTAACCAATTACCAATGCCATAGATATTTTCAGTAGTTGACGGTGGAAGTCTTGAAGTTACAAGGGTCATATATTAATACCCAGAACTAGTAATTTTGGGGTGCATCGCTCAAAAGTCAGAACTAGGGATGGCACCCGGCCCGCGAGGGGCTGATGGGGAGGTGGTTGGGGCAGGGGCGGGGGGAATTTTTTCCTCCCCGGCTTAGAAACGGGGCGAGGGTGAGAAAGTGTACCTCCGCCCCATCCCATGCCCTGTCACCTGCTTTAAAAAAATAAATATATAAAATATATATAGGTATATAATTATATATATAATATATAATTTAATTAGTTACAAACTTATGATAATGATATTATTAGTTATATGTATTATATGATGTCTATTAGTATATATAATATAATTGATAGTATTAATTATACTAATAATTATATATGTGTATTAATACAAATTATTAATTGGTTATACTAAATTTACTAATACATTTATACTAAATCCCTAATTACACTTAATACAATAACATTTTTTTCTTAAAAAAAGTACAAGTACAATAATGAATTAGTGATTATATTTATACCAAAAGTGAAAACTTGACTACTTTAGTTATATTTATTTCATTATATTGGATTGTATTCAAATAATTTTTGTTTGATTTTTTTGTAAGTTTCAACTGTAAAATTACAATGAATAATAATTTGATGATGTGTTGATATATTAGTACTTGATTATTTGCTAAAATTTAATCATAATAAAATTATATAATAAATTTTTATTCGTCCCGTGGGAAAAGCGGGGTGGGACGGAGACGGGGCGGCGGGAGTGACGGACAGGGGATGGGGCGGGGGGCGGAGGGAGTTTGCCCCCGCCCCCTCCGCCCCCGCCCCATCCCCACACCGCTGCCACCCCTAGTCAGAACCATCCACAGGGATGAAGAAGAAAAGTAGCGAATGACAATGGTCACGCGTCAGCTTTGCTGGGCGAAGGTGATAAACACACTTGAAGATTGAATCATGTTGAATAACAAAACAATCATTTGCTCAGAACAGAACGCCCAAGAGAGAGAGAGAGAGAATTGATTTAATTGGTGTACCAAGTGAATTACTTCGAAATTACAAGCCAAATCGAGTAATGCAATCAAGTGAAGGAAGTACCACCACTTTGACAGCTTTGACATCAGACATAAATTTTAAACACATTCATATACTTTGGAATAATTCCTTTTGTTGTTAGGTGAGATGAGAATGAAAGCGTTGGGACTTTTGATACTGAGTAATATAGACGTAAATAAATGGGATAATTTCACAAACCTCCGTTGAGCTTTCTAATAACACTACTCGAGGTTTTAAAAATGTCACGTCTCTTGCCAGTGATTTAGGATCCTTTACTTGCATCATGATAGTTGAAATTATCACACTGTTCTATGAAACTAGGACTAATAAATAATGTAAAATTGGGCCACAAATGCATCCAAATTAGTTAATTACATTTAACTAGAATAACATAATTTTGATGTATAATTAAGCTGATTAAAACTCAATTACAGAAAAGTGCCAATTGAAGAAGAAATTTGGCGCTATTTTTGTGAATGATTGGATTTGACAAGGATGAACGAACAAGTCTCTGATATTGTAGCCATATAATTAGAAGAGAAGAAATAGAGAAGAAAAAAAAAACAAAGGAAAAAGAAGAAGAAAATGGAAACAAAGTGAAGATGTTGTTCATCTGTGGGGGAGTGAAGGTGATTTAAAGTATAAATCAGGGTACGGATTTCCTTTTCATCTTAGCCTACTATTACAAAATGTTCTTGTTAGCCAGTTTCAAGAAAATTAGAATGTTATCTACGACACATTATAAACTACCTTGCTCGATTAATAGTAGATTTTTGAGTTGTAAATAAAGCTAAATTCCTATACTTCATGCGTCCTGTTGTCATGTATAAATTTATAGGACGAGGAAGAGATGATAGAGAAATATTAAGAGCTGAAGTAAATGTTGGTGTGTTGTTCTGAATCTTGTGTCAAGTAAAAGTAGTTATATTTTGTTGTTGAAAGATATGGGTGAATTCCTATACTAGCTAGTGTTGTTAAAGCATTGCTTATGTTTCCATATAGTGCTTGAAAATTCTTGAATTACATTTATACCTCCTCAATTTTCCTAATCATTTCAACCTTTTAATAACTTGCAATCTTCTACTAATAACTTGCAATCATTTCAACCATTTTCACTATGAACTTTAAATGCAGCACAAAACAATGACTTTTTTTACACCCTAACTCTTGCTTGTGATGTCAGTGCAAGTGTCAGAAATTTTGTGTCTTCGTAATACAGAGATATGAGTGCATAACACGTGTGTCTTCGTTTATTAAGAAGAGACGTGACCATTTTAAGTTTGACAAATCCTAACTCTTGATAATAAATAAAGACACGTGTCATACATTCGATGAAGAGAGAGTCCACCGAAAAATGAGACAAGTTCCTCTCCTACTACACCATATAAGTCCAAACTAACGCGACTAAGATGTTGCTTTCTTTCAAAATGACAAATGTATACTCATTTTAACCAATTAAATACGGAAAAATTAATCTTTTTTGTACTGTCAATGTATATACGGACGGGTCTAAGATGCATGTCATATCATTTAAATTTAAATTTAAACACCAAATTTTATATGCGTGACACGCATCTAAATCTATTAGTGTATGCATTGACATTGAGTAAAAAATTTAACCATGTTAAAATCACAATCAAAAGGTGAATTTTTTGCAGTTGTATTATTCTAGATGAAAATTGTTGTAGCACCGAAATACCAAGTGTGCCATTAACACTAGACGGGGGAGTACTGCAAAGTACAAGCGGTCACATATTAATGAGACGGATTAATTATCACAGTCACAGGATTTGCAAACAACTTAATTAAAGCTATAAGCAAATTACATTAGAGAGTTGGTCATCAACTTGCAAACGAGAAAGGCGCCCTGGGGTCCGACTCTTATGTAGCATTGGACTTGTTCAACAATAATAAGAACCAAGTGCCTCCTCACAGTCGCATATTGGTTTTGGTAACAAGTTCTATAAGACTTATTCCGAAGGTACTCATGTCACGATTTTGACGCCAAGGGAGCAGATTTCCCGGCAATTAATTAATACTACTTCATGGCCTTTCGCGATTAACGCTTTTTTTTTTTTTTTTTGGCAGACATTTTAGGTAGGGATGGCAATGGGGGCGGGTGCCGCCGCGGGGGGCTCACGGGGCGGGGGTTGGGGCGGGGGCGGGGGGAAATTTTTCCCCCCCCCCGCATAGAAACGGCGGGGGGGCGGGGGTATACTCCCCCGCCCCATCCCCCGCCCCGCCACCCGCAAAAAAAAATAATATATATATATATATATATAAATGACTATATATTATATGTAAGTTAATTAGTTATAAACTTATGATAATGATATTATTAGTTAGATGTATTATATAATGTATATTAGTTTATGTAATATAATTGATATTATCAATTATATGAATAATTATACATGTCTACTAATAGAATTTATTAATTAGTTATACTAAATTTACTAATACATTTATACTAAATTTCTAATTACACTTAATAGAATAACACTTTTTTCTCAAAAAAAAGTACAAACACAATAATGAATTAGTGATTGCATTTGTACTAAAAGTGAAAATTTGACTATTTTAGTTATATTTATTTCATCATATTGGATTGTATTCAAATAACTTCTGTTTGATTGTTTTTATGAGTTTCAATTGTAAAATTACAATGAATAATAATTTGGTGATGTGTTGATATTTTAGTACTTGATTATTTATTAAAATTTAATTATAATAAAATTATATAATAAAATTTGATTAACCCCGCAGGTGCCCCCGCGGGGGAAGCGGGGGAAGGCGGGGCGGGGGCGGGGCAGGGCGGGGACGGGGGGAACTAATAGGCAACGGGCGGGGGACGGGGGAGGGGTCCCCCGCCCCAACCCCGCCCTCCCCCGTCCCCCGCCCCAACCCCGCCCCGTTGCCATCCCTAATTTTAGGGGCTAGCTCAGAAAGACCCTAGTAAACTGCGTTCGTTCATGTAGATGTTGACACTACCCTCTCATTCCTAACCAAAATTTAAAAAATAACAAAATAAAATGAGTAGATGTGTACGAAAGGCTTCAAACTGGAAGTGATACACAGAAGTTCATGTCAAATACTGCAGCAGCAACGCCGCATGATAGCACCAGCAGCATCCACGCTGCAATATTGCAGAGGAAAAATAATTAGAGAACGAAATACTTTACTATTACCATACAGAGTGAATTTCGAGCGAGAATAATGATTGACTAAACTATCTAAAATGACACAACCTGATCATCAAAAAACAAAATTTTTTTTTTTTTTTTTTTTGTTAAAAATAGCACTCAACTCTTTGAAACTAGCCTTTAAGGTCATTCTCTACTAAATCAACCAGAAATAACTTGAATTTTTTAGGACATTTTTGCCCCTAAAAATCTATTACAAGAAGTCAAATGTGTGTGTGTGTGTTTTTTTTTTATAATTAATTTAAGTAGTTGATATGATCTAAAAGCCCCATTTTAAAAAGTTGAATGATCTTTTTGATAAAAGAAGTTTAGAGATCAGATTGTGCCATTTTAAATAATTTAATGAGATTTTTGTCATTTACTCTGTTATGTAAGTAGTTGTAGTCTTGAGTGCATTAAATTCACAAAAGCTGATGTGGCATTTGGGGTTTAGCGGCAGCAGCAGCAAAAGAACCCAAATTTTGGTCAGACAGACAGATAGTAACTAGTAACAACAAAGTCGCCGGTCATACATCCACGCACATAGTCGCATACAAAGCCAAAGCCAAAGCCATAGCCATAGCCAGAGAAAGAAATACAACCACCCAACAACAAACGAAAAAGCTCTCCTCTTTCACTTGTCCAGCCAGCCAGCCAGCCAGCCAGCGCGCGCCACCGGGCCTTCCTAGTTTCCCTTTCTTTCCAAGTGCCATTTCTTCTTACACCCTCCCAGTCAACCCACTTAATGCCTATTTTTTGTAGTAAAACACGAAAACTTGAACTCTTTCTCACTCAGTCTCACTCCTGACTCCACCACCGCCACTTGCCCATCACGACCGCCACCACAATTTCCCCTCTCAGCTTCTCACCATGCGCATCCACCCATTAGCTCCTTCTCCAGCTCCTGCTCCTGTTCCGTCTCCTCACAGCAAGGTTCCATCTTCTCATACCGCTGCCTTTCCTCCTCCCTCGTCCACGTCTTCATCATCATCATCATCTGCAACAACAAAAACACCACCATCTTCCTCATCATCTCCGTCTAAGTTACCTGTGGAGTTCAGCCCGCCATTGATAGCCATGGTCGTCATCATTGCCACCGCTTTCGTCATCATCACCTACTCAAGGGTCATCTCCCGCCACTTCCTCCGCCTCCACCGCCTCTACCGACGCCGCCGACGCCGCCGCCGTTACGTCCCCTCCTCCTCCGCCAGCAACATCGAGTCCCCTCCTTATCCTTTCGACCCATCCGATGCCTTTCACGTCTTCTCTCCATACGGACTTGACGACTCCGCGATCAAGACCATACCGCTCTCTGTCCACGCCAGAAAGAGCAGCGTCCACGACTGCGCAGTCTGCTTATTGGAATTCGAAGAGAACGATTACGTGCGAACCCTTCCGGTTTGTTCCCACGCTTTTCACGTTGATTGCATTGATATATGGTTAAAATCCCACGCCAACTGTCCCTTGTGTCGCGCCGGGATATTCCGGCCCGAGTCACCTTTCGTTCCGGTCATGGCTGCCAGAATCAGGCCCAGCTTAGATGACATGATGATGGAGAGCACAATCTTAGAGCCGCTGGCGGAGATTCAACCGGAGGAATCCGAGTCAACCACCGTCGAGGAGATTACACAGGAGCCCTCTCCAAGGATTAATAACACTCAATCATCGGAGGACCAATTCAACGGCCGCGATTTTCTGTTGAAGCGGTCGTATTCATTCGGCTTCGAACGTAATTTAGGGTCGGAAAGGCTGGTTCTGGAGCCGGTGACGGCGTCTCCTTGGCGTTACCGGAGGGGAGGAGTCGGAAGCTTCTGGAGCAAACGGCCGTCGCCCTTTAGTTCGTTGACCAAGTCCAGAGTCTTCTCATTCCGATACTACAGAGGCATGAACATGAAATCTCCATTTTTCCGACGGCGTGGTGGCGGCGGCGGAGGAGGAGGAGGAGGAGTTGGGGGGAGCTTCTATCCACTGTCGGAGTCGAGCGTGAGATTCGGGGGTTCAGCAGCATCAGGCGGAGGAGGTGGGTCATCAAGGCGGAGCAGCAAGTCGTTTGCGAGCCCAATGTTCATGAGAACGTCGGGTGGGGCGGCTGGGGGGTTTTTCTCGTCGAGCAGGCAGAGAAGCGGTGATCCAGAAGCTTTGCTGTCACCGGACAGATATAGCAAACGGTGAAGATGATGGACACGTGGAGGAGTTAATAATTGTTGGGGGGAAATTAATGATGGTACGATGATGCTGATGAGGATGACAAAGACGACGGGTACTGCACGCGCGGGGATCGGACGGTCGGAGATGGAGGACATGTTGTGGGCGAGCGTGCATAATTGAATTTGAGAAGGGAGTGGGGGAGGAGGAAGCTGGGGGGTGGTTGCGGGTCTAATAATGCGGGGGGGAATTAAATGAGAAGAAGGGCATTAAAACTTCTGCGTCCTGCTGCAGCTGAGGGCTATTAATTGGAAGGTGCGGTGGAATTCGAGACGGCATTAATTGTTTGAATTGACGACATAATACCACCACCACCACCACCACCACTTGCCTTGCCAGTTGCCACTATCACTGTGAGAGGGAGAGGAGGAGAGAGAGATAGAGAGGGAAGAAATGTAGAGGTCCACATCCACCTCCTCGGCTTACTACAGTTTACCCTACGCGATACAAATGCAATGGCGCGGGGCTCTCCTTTTCCCCTTTTTTTTTTTTTTTTTTTGGGTTCATTTGATCTTTTAGTTTAACTAGTTTGGCGGCCCCTTTCAAGCGGTGCAGTAAGAAATGGGATGGGAGGACTGAGGAGTGGTGTAGACGGGGACTATTATGATTCTTTTATGATCAGTGGGGAGAAGTGATCATTAATTGCATTTTTTACTTTTGGGGATGGGGTCTTCTGAATGAATCTACACTATTTATCTTTTTTTTTTTGGGTTTTGATTTGGAAAAAAGAGAATCTGCTTGTTCACTTTGATTGATGACTGATGACTGATGACTGATGACTGATGATAATAGGAGGATGGAAGTGAGGGAGAAAGTACCACTCCACTTACTAGTCGACTGTTGTGTTAACAGCGAAATGGACTGCAGTGGTAGTGGACGGTGGCGGTGGTGGTGGTCTTTTCTTTCTGTTTTTGTTGGGAGGATAGGGTTCGATGCTTTCTTGCTATCTCCTTCACATTAATGCACCGATCTGTTAGAAATGAAATGGCCCATGTTTTGCCTTTTGTATTTTCTGCTCAACAGATGAAAGAGATTTTGTGTGGATAGTTTATTATTTGAGTAATTTTATTTGTTTGTATTATAAATATATTTTTTAATTTTTAAAAAAATTTTACAGAGGTCACAGCACAAAAATATTACAATATTTTTTTCTTTCAAAAAAATTATACCAAAATAATCTCCTAGTATGTGTTGAACCACCAACGACAATATTTGTCTCATCAACAAATGAAGAGAACCAAGAAACAAAAAAAAAAAAAGAACAAAAAAAAAAAAAGGATAAGTGAACACATAAAAAAGCCAAAAAAGAATATGAAACCAGCTGCCCTTTTTTCTTTTTTCTTTTTTCTTTTTTCTTTTTTTTTGCAATGATTAGATTTTCCACAAGCTCTGTCACTTTTTATTTTATTTTTTATTTTTGGGTTAGAAAAAGAAGGGGGGGGGGGGGGGGTTATGCAATATTACGGAATATTTATTAGTGATCGTAGTGGTATCATTTCCAAATGATGATGTCCTCGAGTAACTTGTTGAGATTGTCACATAGGTCCGTTTTCTGTTGTTTAGTAGACCACGATGGGCACAAAAGTGTGAGCAATACTTTACTACAAGCCCGCCCGCCCGCCCGCCCTTCCTGTGGGATGGTTCATTACGGGTCTTTATCATAAAATTGTTCACTCCTGTCCTTTCAAAAATTCATCTTTTTAAGTCACGCTTCTCTGTCCTTATGCCCTTGGTTTGGTTCTTACTTATTTCTCAATCAAAATGTTCCTTGGTTTAATTCGGAGAGGTAGCTCCCCCATGTTTGATGTAACCCCTCCGATGCCAAAAAAACTTGGAAGTGGAAATTTTCTGGTGAGGGTTACTCCTACACCCATCCCTCATGAATATTTGTTTGAAGCTCAAAAATGTGTAGTAGTTCACACAACTTCCTACAGCGGAAAAATTAGCCATGAAATTTTTATTAAGGCACAAGATTGAGGTAAACCCGATTAATTGAACATCACGAGAACAAAAAGGGAAAAAAACTACTACTAGGAATATTGAGGTCTATCCGGGTGGAGGATGAGTTGGGTGGTACGGGAGGAGAGAATGTAAACAAGAGGTCTAGAATTCGAATTCTCCTGCTTACACTAAAAAAAAAAAAAAAAGTATTACGGTCTATCCGTGATTTAAGCACGCGAAATAATAATAATATTAATAATGTGTTGTCACATCAAATTGCTGAATCATTTACCAACTATTTTATCAAAACTTTGCATACTATAAAGTATGGAAATAAGAATGTAGTAGAAGCATTAAATGAGTTTTGATCATTTTACTGACCAAAGGGGTTCCATTCCATTGGTTCATTATTGATCTTGACACGTACGCTTAGGGGTGGCAATTCGGGTCCAAATCAGGTTGGCGGGTCGGGTTCGGGTCAACCCGTCAGAAAATCTGTTGACCCGAACCCGACCCGCCAACCCGTGACGGGTCAGGTATGCTGACCCGAACCCGAAAATTTCAGGTTGACGGGTTGGCGGGTCGACCCGAAATGACCCGAAACTTAATTTTAATTTATTAATTTATCACTGTAATTTCTAATAAAATCAATTTCTCACAAAACTAATTACATAATCAAGTAATAAAAATTTAAATAAATAATTCCAAACCAAATCTAAAATAAATTAAACACCGTAAAAGTGTTTTATCCCAAACAAAATATAAAATAAATTAAAACAATATAAAAGTAAAAAATAATATAATATATTATTTGTCCAAATATAATAATTTCAACTTCATACAAATTAAATAAATTCATTTAGGATTAAGTAATTAATGCCTTTGAAAAAAAGAATAACTTAGTTTAGTTAGATAAAATTATTTTTATGTTTATTAAATTATTTTTAATTCGTAAACGGGTCATATCGGGTCATATCAGGTCACCACGGGTTGACCCGAAATCGACCTGTTTTCTTTTCGGGTTCATCGGGTCCAACCCGATTCTGATCCAAATTCCCGAAACCTCAACCCAAACCCATTAATTTCGTGTTAGGTTCGTGTCGTGTTTTCAGGTCGTGTCGAAAATTGCCACCCCTACGTACGCTCACTACTAGTATTTATTTTATCATATATTCAACACCGCGATAGTGTGTTTGGACAGCCAATTATTTGGCCAAATATATTTGCTGACATCACCATTACAATTTTCAATACACCTTTTTATCTTCCCAATTACCTTTTTATCTCACATACATCACATCACAAAAAGTGGTACAGTAAAAATATTTCAAATAACTTACAATCCAAACACACTCCCGGGGTATCACTGAAATAGATAAAATTTTAAATAATTGCAAAATCGTTGGCTTTTAATGACAAGGATAATGCTGCTGTGTTGGAATTTTAATTTAATGAAAGATGCCGTCCGTCCCCTTACTCCTTAGTCCTTACTTGCTACGATCTGACCAGCCTTCGATGCTTCCAAAACCTATTTAGCGATAATATCATAAACCTCCCTGAGATTTCTCTTAATATCACCTAGTATTTCTAAAGTTTTAAAAATATTACTTACTTTCCTTATTTTTGTTATTTGTGCAACAAAATTTTGAAAAATCCTAAACTACCCTTTTGCTTTCTAAATAAAAATACTCCTAAGCTACTTTATTTATTTCAAGAAAACTATCACCTAAAAAAATAATATCTAGTAGTACTACCATATTACAATACTATAGTCCATAAAAATATAAATTTAAATAAATAAAAAAGATATTTGCAAAGAAATACACTAGCACCAATTTAACTCTATATGTTCAAAATCGATTTCTTATGAATTTATTTTCTTCCCAACTTCTTCTCAGTCCGCGTCCTAACCTTTTAATCGTATTAAAATAAACAAAGAAACAAAATATAGAACATAAACAAAGAAATCATACCCTATTCTATTGCAATCACAAAATAAACAAAGAAATCATACCCTATTATATTACAATCACAAAATGAATAATATAAATAAAATTCAATTTACTATAATTTATAAATAAAAAATCAGCTGGTCATCCAAAAAAAAACGAGTAAGAGAGAATGTTGAAAAATGGAGAGAGAACAAAGTGACTCTTGTTTCTTTTTTATTTTATTTTTTGAATTTCATTTATTTGATATGCAAATTATGTATTAAGTAAGGGTTAATATAGTCTTTTTACAATTACTAGGGGTGGTAAGTGATATTTTCAAAACGTTCAGAGTGTCAAGTGATATTAGGAGAAATCTCCAGGGCGGTTTCTGATATTATCCCCAGTATTTATGTTTATACTCTATCTAATTTTTTTTTTTCCGGAAACGGTAGAAGTTGTTTATGCTCTATCTAATCACATAAGTGGTAGTATATGTTAAAATATACTACTACAATGAACGCATACTAGGTAGGTGCCCACTCTAGCGAAACAAATCCTGAATACGCAAATGCAAGTCTGGTGGGAAGTTGGAGACTGGCGCATCAGCTGGGCTCGTGTGCAAAAACAAAACAAAATTAACAAGGAAAACTAAAAACATTGCTCTGTGATAGGTGTTCTTACACAAGCAAGTTCTGTTAATACTCCGTCATCGTTTTAACATATCTCATTGACGTTTTGTATGAACATGGCATGCATCGATGTCAAATTATCAGAAACAATTGTACGTTGTTTATGTGCAGACAAAAGAGGGACTCTGATAACTGAGTGTTGCGTCGACTATATTCAACCGAGTTGAGAAAGCACGTTGGTTGAGCCACTCATCGCTCTCGCAATTCAAAATTATGAGTTGCTTCTTTTATTAGAGTTTGGATTACCAGTGTTTTTCTAGAATAATAATGTTTGAAATATTCTCTTGAGACAATTATTTCTCTCTCTCTCTCTCTCTCTCTCTCTCTCTCTCTCACACGCGCACACACACACACACTCACATATATATATATATATATATATATATATATATATATATATATATATATATATATATATATATTATGTATGAATAGCAATACACAAAAACTCCCATCCAACGCCTCAGTGTCATGAAACTATGAAATGAAATTGGGATTTATTAAGAAAAATGGATATCATACATGCTTAAAGTATTTTAATAGGTTTTTTGTGTGGGCTTATTGAACACTCCTAAAATCCCACGCTAACTTAAGTGGGCATATTAACTAGAGGTGGCAAAATGGGCGGGAAATGGGCGGGATTTGCCTTGGGTTTTGTGATGAACCGAGTCATATGGGTATGGGCCCAAATCTTACCCATATGTGTTTTGGGACTACAGTTGGGCGGGGAATCACGTTTTGGATGGGTTTAGATTGATCCGCGCCCAATACCCAAATCTATTTTCTACATATTTTTTTTCCTTTAATTCATTTTTATTTTTTATATAATTTTAATATTTTTGATTTATTAAATTTTTTTTAATTTTATTAAATAAACATGCAAGTGCTTTATACTCAGGATTCCCATCAAAAATTGGATTAACAAATAAATGAAAAAATAGATATACAGTCATATTCCAACATATATCAAGATGGCCAAGGTACTTAAGATATTGAATATTTATTCTCATCATTGTCCAAAGATGACAGGTCTAAATTGATTGAAATGTTTAAAATTCTTGTGGATAATGACTAGGAAAACTACTAGATTATATTCTCTAGTATGACTATAAAAATTGTTAAAGATAATTTTTGAATCTAAGACTCCGTTTGGATTGGCTATTTTTTCAAAAAATAAGTTTTTCAAATACAATGTTACAGTAACATACAATAACTCAAAAAACATCCCATCCATATTAGTATATCAAATATTTCAAAAAAACTTTATAGTAAAAATTTTTCATATACACTGCTATAATAAAATATTTCAAAAATATCCCCCAAAAATAGCTAAACCAAACAGAGCCCTTGTTATTTGAGCCCAATGGGTACCCAAGTATTTCCCACCCTTTCCCATTCATTAATGGGTATAGTTGGGATGTGTCCCAACTTAAACCCAATACCAAATTATAATACCCATCCCGCCCAAAGTTCCTTTGGGCATGGGTAGCCCATTGGGACTTGGGACAAATTGCCAGCTCTAATATTAACAATTATTACCTGTCCTTATATTTATTTCTTTTTTCTAATTAATCTTATCTTTGAAGAATTTATTACTCATCCTTGCATTTACTCTGATTAATCTTATTTTTTTAAAAAAAATATATATAATACCTGGAGTGTATATTAATGATGTGCCCATTATCGTTAGACAAACTTTTTTTTTTAGGCGGGAGGTTTTGGAAGATCTATTTATAATAATTCTCACCTTACAGTTCAACTCAATCTTTCTCTTTCCCAGGTAGACTCTTCTACTAAAGTATATACATGAAAGTACTTTTTAAAAAATATATATATAGTATGTGCACGTATATTGAAGGAGTTAAAGGCTGATCAAATGTGGTAATAAATAGCTTGCTATCCTTAATTAGCACATGATATGGTGACTGCCATAATTAGTGAACTCATGGAATACTTCCTACTTCCTAGAGCTAGAGCTTCCCTGATTCAATCTTCAGTTAAGGACATCCAACCCACGAACTTAATGATTAAAGTCATCCAACTCTAAATTCTGTCCACACTTACATTGAGTCTAGGGAATGATCAGGAGTAGGCCGAATTTCTACCTTCCAGTAGGTTCGGTTACGTGTAACGGTACAAACAAGTCGAATCGAGTTGAATTTTGACCTAATTAAGCTGACTCTTAACTTAATTTTATGAAGTTTAAACTCGAACGCAAACTCGAACTCGAACTCGACGGATTCAAAATGTAAAGCTCAAGTTCGAGTTCGGCTCAAATTTGATTCGAATTCTAACTCGAACTTGATCTTAAAAAAATAAAAATAAAAATAAATAAATATTTTTATTTTTAATAAATAATAAAATATTAGAAATATATAGGGCAAATTATCCAATTGGCCCTTGAACTCTTTGTCTAGGTAAAAATAAATCTCTCATCTATTTTTTGCTGACTTTAAGCCCTCGAACTTGTAAAATTAGGCACTCGTGACCCTTTTAGCCAGTTTCTCCGATTTTGCAACCAGAAGGCCAATTCACACGAATAACAGTGTGCTTTTTCAAAGGGCATTTTTGTCCGCATTTTCTAAGCAAAAAGGAACAACTCCTTCTTCTTCCCTCCATCTAACCTAACCTAACCCACGCCTAAAATCCCATAACAAACCAGACCCCGCCGCCAACTCACCTCCTAACCAGAATCAGCTTGTCCGAGCCCCCTCATTTCTCGACCGGGTCAAGTCCTTTAACTTCTCTTCCTACGTCTCCGAGCAGCCCGACCCATTTCGCGCCGTGACCCAGAAATCCGACCCACGTGAAGAGCAAGAGCAAAAAAACATTGCGGAGGAAGAAGCTTTGCTGGAGAGTCATCATCATGATGATCACATGATGAAGAGCAAGTTGGAGACACAAGTGGAGGCTCCGAGGGCGAATGGTAGCCCTGCTAGAAGGATGAAGAAGAAGGTAAATCGGCGGCAGCAGTATTGGAGGACCGGGAGGAGGTAGATCGGCGGCGGCCAGCGACGATGAGGGAAAGAGATGGGAGGTCTTCGAGTGAAACTGAAACGTTGACGTTTGGGGAGGAGGAACATGTGGACAAGAAAGCGGATGCCTTCATAAATCATTTCAGATAGCATTTGAAACTGCAAAGGTTGGATTCGATTTTAAGGTACAAGGAAATGCTAAATAGGTGCGCTGGGTTGGAGAGCTAATGACACTAATCTTCTTGAGACTTAAAAAAAAAATAATAAAGCCTTTTCCTCGAGCGAGCTTTTATTTTACCACTACTCAAAATAAAAAGATGTTATGAACCATAACGAGTTTCCTTGTTTAAGTTTACTAGTTGTGCAGGTAGCATTAGATCTTTGGGGTTGACAATATTCTATTACTAGCTACTATGACTTTTATCTAAATCTGTATATGCTGGCTCAGATTTAAACGAGATGGGTTACATCCATTCTTGTTGAGGGAAGAAAGAGGGAAGAAGGAGGAGTTGTTCCTTTTTGCTTAAAAAATGCAGACAAAAATGCCCTTTGAAAAAGCACACTGGCATTCGTGTGAATTGGCTTTCCGGTTGCAAAATCGGAGAAACTGGCTAAAAGGGTCACGGGTGCCCAATTTTACAAGTTCGAGGGCTTAAAATCAACAAAAAATAGGCGAGGGGTTTATTTTTATCTAGACAAAGAGTTCAAGGGCCAATTGGATAATTTGCCCAAATATATATGTAATTTTATTAGTAAAATAAACAAATAAACATAATCGAGTCAGCTCGCGAGCTAATAAGTTGAATATCTTCGAATTCGACTTCGAGTTTGACTTGATTAACTTGAGTTCGATTCGAGGTCGATGTTGGCCGAACTCGAATCGAGTTTGAACTCGAGGTGCTTTGTGAGCAGTTGGATTCATTTGCAACCTACTTGCGTGGATGGTCCAATCAAGGTCACTTATGATTGCCATAGGAGGAATTTATCCAGTTTCCGTCACAAGTAGAACAGTTCCCAAAAGCTTAGTGGCAGATGGGTGGATTGGGCGGCTAAGTGGCTGAAATTGGATAGGAGGTTATCTAGAAAAATATTTTTTGAAAAAAATATACCATCAGTATTGTTCTAATTAATGTAAAAGTGGAGTGATTAATGATATTTCTGATACCAAAGTGAGGATATTTTAGACAAGCATTAGACGAGATTTATTTTTTCAACAAAATTAGCTAATTTTTCTTAAACTATACGAGACTATCAAAGTAGGATGGAAATAGTATCACCTCAGTAATAATAAATGATGCAAGGCTTCAGGCAATAATTTAGTTCTTGATCCTCATAACGAAGACAAAAAAAAAAAAAAACAAAAGCAGTAATGCATAAAGGAAGGACATCCCACAAAAGGGAAAAAAAGAAGAAGGAAAATAGCAGGAAGAAAGTGACCTGTTTGCAGCTAATCCAACGGCAGTTTATAAAGTGCATTTAATGAGTCCGGTCGGGGCAGTTGGGAAATCCATACGGAGAAATTTCCATCAAGTCTTGCACCTATTGGCCTGATCAATTTTACACTTTTCTTTTAGAAGCTAAAAAAAAGGGGGAAAATTGGGAAAAGATTTAGAACTAGTAATACAATAATTTTACTTGTGAGTGAAATTTGGATAGAATGGTAGGGGTATTCTAGACGCAGTTGAAAAATCTTCTTAACACTCCATTTAAATGAGTTTTGTCTGTATTGATTGGCAAAGTAAATGGAGCGGTAGCGGCAGTACCGGACAACGAGGATCAGTTACTGAGGCTCATTAAGGCCGCCATAGCTGATGACGTGTCTTCCATGCACCCACATTAAAGAAGTAATCAATGACGAAGCAAAGAGGGGTTGACGGAGCAACAGTCTTCCTAAATTTTAAAAATTTTAATTCATAATAGATAAATATATGTGTAAAATAAAGTTGACTTTTTCAAATATTTTATAATTTTAATTTATATTATGAGAGTTTATATATATATATATATATATATATATGAATTAGCCACATTTGAATTAACTTTTTTGGTCAAAAAAGTTCAAAAAGTATGATAAGATATCTAATTAAAAATTATTTATTGTCTTAATTTTTTTTATGACTATGGTACATATTTATGAAATAGATATACCTTTATAATTAAAGTTAATATTTGATATTTTTAGATGCTATATACTTAAATAAATGAAAAATATTTTATACATAATATATTAAGATAATTTTATTAGGAAAAATTTTAGACTCCAAGAGGAATAAAAATCCAGACACCGTCGCTAGAGTAATGACAGTACTCATAGTCGTAATTGCAGAGTGGTAGCAGTGATAGTCTTGCTGAAATTAATGCTCCAGCTGCTCCAATCCCTCAACTAACTCACTAAATTTCCAAATCCATCTATATCTCATTTTCCGTGCAGAAACTCATAGTAACAAAAAATCCTTTTAGCAGGAGTTTCTCTGTGGAAGTCGCAGCTTGGTTTCTTGGGATTGTTTGCTACACAATTCAGGAGGTCGAGGTTGAAAATGGCGGAGTATATAGTGAAGGTTGAAGAAGGACGGCCGGCCACCGTCGACGGAATGCCATCGGCGGGGCCTGTTTATAGGTGCATTTATGCTAAAGATGGTCTCTTGGAGATACCGGCGGGAATGGAATCTCCCTGGGACTTTTTCAGGTATTGTTGCGCAATTAATCTGATTGGTTTTTTCTCACAAGTTTGGCTTACGTTACTTAAAAGGCGATTAATTGCTTAGTCAAGTGCGTCTTGTTCACAGACCACAGATCATTTACCAAGTGTAATTTCTGCTTGTTGCATGCTAGTAATACTAATGCTTCTTCATTCACTCAAGTCCACCCAACAAACATACATGCCTCAATGAGTAACACTAGTATATACTTAAATCTTGGATTTGGGCAAGGAATTACGAGTCCTCTAGATAGATTTTTGCCCCCCCCCCTTCTCTTAACACACACAAACCACCGCCGCGACCACCCAAACCCCAACCCCAATCCCAACACGAAAAAAAAAAAGAATTCAACTGCTAAAAGAAGATTTGTTAATCATGCCGTGAAAAGATCATCTATAGGAGCAAGTTGTGAAAACTTTTGCTAGCCAGCCTAGCCTGTGGTCTTTAAGGTTCGCTGTAGGAGCAAGTTCAAATGGCATGTCAAACTGAGATTCAACTGTTGTCGGTCTGAATTACGGTCGGGATATTGAGTTGAGAGCATAATATACGAGCAAGATAAGATAATGCGGCCCAAACTATCACGAAAACAAATAGGCGGAGGACTGTTCCAAAATGGATTGGCCCATGCAGGTCTCGAACCTGCGACCTTCGCGTTATTAGCACGACGCTCTAACCAGCTGAGCTAATAGGCCGCCATGTTGGAGGGTAGAAAATAGAACTTTGATTACCACATAGCTCACGGAGAAGCAATTTTTGGACATTGCAGTGAGTCCGTTACCAAGAATGCCAAGAATCGAATGCTTGGTCGCCGGCAAGTCACCGACGGCAAGGTACCTATTTCTTCCTGCATTCTTTAGCGCTTGATGAGATTTTTAAACTCCAAAAAAAATAAGAAACAGATAAAACAATAAAGACGATAAGTTTGAGGTTGAATTGGCAGGCTGGTTCTTACGCGTGGCTGAACTATGAAGAGGTATACAGCACCACTCTTAAAATTGGTTCCGCCATCCGCCGCCGTGGTGTCAATCCTGTGAGTACCGCTGTACACTACCAAAACATGCACATGCAGGATTTATTTCTTTTATATAAATATATATAGTAAAAAAGAAAACTCAGATTATGCTCATGCTAATGTGGCTCATATGCTGCTCATAATTGCTACTATTAGGGAGATCGCTGTGGCATATATGGGGCTAACTGCCCCGAATGGATTACGGCAATGCAGGTATTTATCCATTTTGAATGCTTTAGAACTTGTTATGCACCCGCTGCATGCAGTTCTCGAGTGCAACCAGCTGTCGACAACTTTGATGTTTGACAATCAATCTCAACCAAACACCGAAATTCTTCAGACATTTTCCTACTAATCCTGTTACATGATTTGATGTGACTGCAAGTGTTTTAGAGTCCTTTTTTTCCTTTTCTTTATTGTGGGTTCTCATCTATCCGACTTTTTGATAGGCTTGCAGCAGCCAAGCCATCACATACGTGCCACTATATGATACCCTTGGTATGTTTTCCTTTCTGAAATTGTGGTTGCTACTTTCTATGCCGCTATTGGGAAATCATGGTTTCGTAATTGATGTTGCTTATGATCAATTAAGCCCGGCTCTTCATTTTCGCAGGTCCAAATGCAGTGGAGTTCATCATCAACCATGCCGAAGTTTCGATAGCTTTTGTTCAAGAAAGCAAGATGCCAGCAGTAAGTTCTCTTTGTTTAGCTGTGTTTCCCTTCTCTTTGATAGTTCTCATATATTATTTTTGCTAAGGAAGAGACATTACTAGCTTTTATATTTTATTTAATTTTATTTTATTATCAGCAATCTTCAATTGTTCAAAAGTAAAATGCCTTGACATGATTGTACAAGAGAGATACTCACTTACTGGCAAATAAATTTTCTGGGTGGATTTCTGTTTCATTAAATAACATTTAGTCCTTCCCTCTGATTGATTTTTTCCTGACAGATATTGAAATGCCTTGCAAGGTGTAACTCACATCTAAAAAGTATGTTAACTTGCTACTTTCAAAAGGTTAATTCTCTAAGACCATTATTGCCGAGTAAGATTTCTACCTCCTTTGTGAAGCCATTGTCAGCTTTGGAAAGATCTCCAGCAGGCAAAAGGAAGAAGCTGAGGAACTTAACGTGACATGCTTTTCTTGGGACGAATTTGCTCTGCTGGTAAGCATACACCAATAACAATCTCTAATTTGTGTTGTAATTATCATGTGTGGTATGGTTGCAAAATCATTGTTTAATCCATCTTTACAGGGCTTTTCGGATCATGATCTGCCCCCCAAGCAAAAGACAAACATATGCACGATAATGTATACAAGTGGAACAACAGGAGAACCAAAAGGAGTCATCCTAAATAATGGGGCCATCATTGCAGAAGTATTATCTATCCATCAACTACTTATGGAAACAGATAAAGTGGTAGGTTGTCTTTTTAACTTATTGATAGTTGTTTGATAATTATGCAACGATCTTTGCCTGTGACCCGCATAGCGAGCATGAAATTATGCCTGAAGGAGGGCACCAACTGTTGCCCTTTCTCAGCAACCAGAGGCGGTTGATGGTCCAAAATTGACCAGCAAAGAAATTTCAATAGATGAGCAGCGTGATTTCATTTTTGGCTGTTTCCTGGCATCCTAGATTAACAAAACAGTGCATAGAAGCTTACGTTACATGTCATTGCGTAGAAAGGTTAGCTGGGCGTGATAAATTCTTTGGGTTTGTTAACCATTCAATGGTTGTAATTATGTAGAGTACCTTGTATATTGAAAAAGTTGGAAAGCAATTGTACACCTTCACTCAAACAATTCTCAGCTTAAACTGTTCTGGAACTAGGTACACCGTCACTCAAACAATTGTACACATGGCATATCTAAATTGTTAACTGTTTGCCATGCCCGCAATCATTGTGGAAGACTGTGCCTTGCCACTTAAAACCCAGCCCCACTATTTTGCCTTTTAATTTGATAGACCACCAAACTCCTCAGTTTTTAAAGGAGCCATCCCTTCTGGTCCCTCTTCCCCTATTCTTTCACTTAGGGGGTTGAATATGGTTCCCTACAAATTAAGAATTCTTTGCAATTAATGAAATTTAAAGCTGAGACATGCTTTCCAGGTATAAGCATGGCAATTTACCATGTTCATTGGGTTTGAAGGTAAGGTGTGAAAAAGTGCAATGTTAAAGGGTATAAATTGAAATCAGGTAGAGACAACTGGAGTTTTCTCTGACGTTAAAAACACTTCATGTACTTTCTAAAGTTCAAAGAACAATAACAAGGTTGTATACTAGGCATCTGTTTCCATGATCGTTGTGTTACAAAGCACATTATTGATTGTGCAAGTTGTATAAGCATGGATTATTCTCTTTTTTTAAATCCCTTGATGGTTGACTCTGACAATCAAACACTTCATGTTCCCCTTAATGATATGTTTCTTTTTCTTCCATCTTTTCAAGTGCAATCGGATTTTGGGCCCAAATTTGTTGCTGTTTTTTTTTTCTATCCTTTTATATGTTCAAATCAGTGATTACAGCTCTATATTCTTCCTTTTCTTACAAATAAGAAATTCGCTTAACTGTCATTTTCAGAAAAAGAATAGTATGTTACTTTCTATTTATTGCAGGGTACAGAAGATGACACATATTTCTCATTTCTACCATTAGCACACATATATGATCAGATCATTGAGACCTATTGCATATACAGGGGTTGTTCAATAGGATTCTGGCAAGGAGTAAGATCTAGATTCTTTTATTGTCTTCAATCTATGGTTTCAATAAAGAGTTAACTACTGCTACAGACTGTCTTTGGGAGTTATTTTCTACTCTGCAGGATATCAGATACTTGATTGATGATCTTTTGGAATTAAAGCCTACGATGTTTTCTGGAGTTCCTAGAGTCTATGACAGAATATACACTGGTACAAAGTCATTGCGATGCTTATGTGATGCTCCGTTCTTACACTCTGAACATGGTTCTGACAATTTTTTTTGATAAGGTATAATGGAAAAGATTTCAGCTGGAGGTACAATAAGGAAGATATTATTTGATTTTGCATACGACTAGTAAGTGTGTAGTCATGGCATTTCTATTGTTTACAAGATATGTCATCTTGGATTATTGTAATTAAGAAGACATTAATAACAGCAAATTGAAGAATTTGCAAAAAGGACTTAGACAAGATGAAGCTGCTCCTCTCCTGGACAAGTTGGTCTTTGATAAGGTCAGTGATTTTATCCTTCCCAGCTTTCATTGCATTTTTTTTGCCTTTTTTGCCTTTTTCGTTTAGCTCTTTCACTTCTAGTTTCTAATAGTGTTTTAACTTAGATCAAACAAGGGTTTGGTGGAAAAGTTCGTATTATGTTCTCCGGTGCTGCACCATTGCCTAAGCATGTGGAAGAATTCTTGAGGGTGACATGCTGCTGCGTCTTGTCACAAGGATATGGTATTAATAGTGATAGAATACAGTCCTACTCAATCAGTTTTCTATTTGACGCTACTTGGATAATTGCTTAGAAGCATTGCAGGATAAGATTTGATCTATTTGAGTTCTTATGTTATTCTACTTCATACAAGTGATGAGGGTCAATAGTTTCATTCTTGTATTGGTTTCAGGCCTCACTGAAAGTTGTAGTGGTTGTTTCACATCCATAACCAATGTAATGTCTATGATGGGAACTGTTGGTGTCCCAATTACAACCATTGAGGCAAGGCTTGAATCAGTGCCCGAGTTGGGATACGATGCTCTTGCGGATGTACCACGTGGAGAAATTTGTCTTAGAGGAAAAACTTTGTTTTCTGGATATCATAAGCGGCAAGACCTTACCAGTGATGTACTTGTGGATGGATGGTTTCATACTGGTAACCTTCTCAAACCTAAACCTCTGATGGATAGAGTTATCTCTTATTATGGTGATGTGTCCCATAGGAATCTAAACACTTACCTAAAAATTGTGCTTTAACTGTTTTAGAGTGACAGAACTTACCTTTCTAGTGTTAGATGTATATATTAGAGCAACTCCAGGCCGCACTTTCTTTGACTTTATCTTGGTAGATTTCCAATGGGAAATTGTTCTGGCAATTCCAGATAGAGTGATAAATTCATTGGCCATGTCTGACCTGCTACCAGCCGTCAGATACACAAGCGTGGAAGAATGTCTTTTGTTTTAGTTCGTTTGTTTGCATTTTGAGCAGAAACATCATTAGTTGATCTCTTGGGATGGATACTGAAATTTCAGTATTACTGCAGGAGATATTGGGGAGTTGCAGCACAATGGAACAATGAAAATAATTGACAGGAAAAAAAACATTTTCAAGTTGTCTCAAGGTGAATATGTTGCCGTGGAAAGTCTTGAAAGCACATACTCTCGTTGCCCCCTTGTGACTTCTGTAAGTTATCAGACAAGTGTGTATGTATTACAAATTTGGCTAAAGAAATGTGCAAGAGATACCTGACCGAATCTCTAACGCTTAGTAGATAGTGCATCGGATATTCCATTTTGGAAGTCTTGGCTAACTTTTGCCTGGTGCATAGATTTGGGTCTACGGGAACAGCTTTGAGTCCTTCCTGGTGGCTGTGGTGGTACCAGAGAGAAAAGCACTTGAAGATTGGGCAGTACAACATCTTCAAGATGGAGACTTCAAATCCCTCTGCAATAGTATAAAGGCGAGGAAATATGTTTTAGATGAACTTAACAACACAGCTAAGAAACACCAAGTACGTGCATGAGGTTCTGAGTTTTCTCTTCCTTAAGCTATTTCTGATGTTTATATTTCACCTATAACCCAAGTCATACTGGTTCAGCTTCGAGGATTTGAAATGTTAAAAGCAGTCCATTTGGAACCCGTTCCTTTTGATTTTGAGAGGGATCTCATTACTCCAACATTCAAACTTAAAAGGCCACAACTGCTCAAGCACTATAAGGTATGCCTATGATAAAGAGCTTCAAGTTCAGCATCGAATTCATAGACTATTGATTGATGCACTGCCAAGTTCAAAACGTGTTATTAGTAAAACTTCGATTGCGGGTGCATTTTGACCTATTTACTTACTGTTTTCTTCTGCTTGGCAGGATCGCATTGATCAGCTATACAGCGAAGGAAAGGGATCAAAAGTGTAGCAGCATATTCTCACCAGCAGTGAGCTGCGGGAATTTCTGTTTTTGTGATTGATAGAAAGCTTCTGCTCTTGAGAGTTTTGATCAGCATTATTAGCGAAGAAGTTGTTATAGCAGCTTCAAGCACTTGTCTTTCTTTTCTCCGGAAGGGGGAAAAATGATGAATGCAATGTATCTATCTTGCACAGGCCAATATCCAGCGTGATAGGAGAAAAGCCTGTTTGGGTACTGTATAATTTGGCTACTTGTCAGTGGCACAATTCACTCTCCTTCGTTCTAGCAATTTCTAACCATCATTTTGCCAACAAGGAAGTCATCATGACGATTTCCACTTATGTATGACAGAATTTCTTTGGATACTAGGCACAAAGGAAATGAAAGGAGAATAAACGGAGTTCAATTTATGTGAACGAAGAACCAAAATAAAACTTTAAAAATTATTAAAAAGAAAAAAGGAAGAAGAAGTAAACTAAGGGAAAGCTACAAAGCGAACAAGGACCAGGCACAGGGAGGAGAGAATCAACTGAGTTCGCCTGATTGAGGCTTCAAAGAAGGTTTCATGGTGGGAGAAAAACAGACTTAACGGAAGCAGTAAGCACATACACCTTACTGTCACATGTAGGCCTACCCAGCTGCCTTTCATTGAAAGGCTCAAACTGAGAGGAGGAATTGGCTCGGATGAAGTGTTGTTTTCTTCAGTAACAGAGCAAAAGAACTCCTGCCAAAGCACTCATCTGTTGATGCCTCTGGAATTACTAACAAGCATGTAGGTGCACCCTCGAAAGAGGCCATTTTACATCCTAGTCTTTGGCAATTTTGCATCTGATAAATAAAGACTGCAACAGCAAAACTATCCAACAATGTGGTAAAGGAAAATCGTTTTTCCGGTTTCACAACGGTGAGCTAGTGATAGAAATACAGAAAAATATACATTCTGAACTTGCATCCGTTGACACGTAATCTCGAGTTTTCTCAACAGAAAGATTACACAAATAGTTCAATTACATAGCCAAATGAAATTGTATCAGGCTGATGCCTTGCCGACGAAAAATAACCAATACAAAAAAAGATACACACATGCTAAAGATCTGTTTCAAATGGTTGGGGACGCTGACAACAAGGTCTTTCAATACAAGATTTAATTGAATCAAACACGCACGCACGTAAAGAGGGTAATCTATCCAAGAAGTGTAAACCGAAAAAACAAATAGTCGTCACAGCAGTTTGATAATGAAAGCCCAGACCGGATATACCAACAGTAGGATGATTCCTACTGTGTTGGAAATGCCATGGGTTTTTGTGAAAGAATTTCTGAATCCACCGGATGCTCGGATGTGTTCCTGAAGCAAATAGCATGCGATTATCAGACAAATGATGATGCCAACCCAGCCACCTCTTATGGTGTCAGCGAACAAGCTTGGAGCCACCACAATTACAAGGATCAAAGCTGCAGGAAGTTCTAGCCAATCTGCATTCGAACAATTTCCCATTTTAAGTGTCTGCGCAATGCATTAAGTTGAAGAATCTGCATATGTTCAGGTGTGTAGAAACAAAATGATTGAAGGGACAACCAGGTTATGCATTTGCATGTTCTTCTACCTGGAAAACGTCGTGGGAAGAAGAGGCGTAGTACGACAGCAATTATAGCAATCCATTTTCCAACTTCTCCCCTGCATCAGGGATAGTTTAAATCGTGCCGCAGGAGTCGATATAAAATTATTTAGGACAAGAAAAAGTGAGTATTACCTAAGCAAATTGAACAATACATTCGGAAGACTCAAGAAAATGTAAGGGATCAAAAGCGATGTAAGTATATTGGTCTTCCAGTTGGTTCGGTCCAGGATCAGCAAGTAACTGCAAGATAATAGAAATAGAAAACAAACGTTTCATTTGCTAAATATTTGCTTAAGAAACAAAAAGATAGGGAGTTAGTCGTACAGGAAAAGCAATGGAATTGAAGACAAGAAGAATTGGCAGCATGGTGCTGATTATCAAAATAAAACAAATTAGAAAAAAAATCAAAACATAAATTTTGAGTTTTTTTTTCTAATTTGTTTTATATTTGGGACATATTGCTTCATGTGTTCAGTCGGCTAATATCTGCAGAATACTACTGTAAATTTTCTCATTAAAATTCAGAGGATAAAGAGGTGCCATCATTACTAACTAAACATGATCACGACAGTGGAAGCTAGTATAACAGAGCAAATGTTGCCTCAGATCTCAAAAGCCGAACGACCATCCATGGTCCATCAATCTAATCTTTTTGAACCAGAACCCACCCACAAACCCCTACTCGAAGCAATATAATCAACTCAGATGGAATGATTCTCGCATTCTACTTCGTCCACTCACGAGTAATAGCAATTAATCTCCCCTTGGCATTCATCTTTAAATCAAGACTGCCCAATAAAAACCCCAAAATCTTTTAAGAACGAGCACACACACTATAACCAATTCAATAATGATCGTAGCACCCCCAAAAGAGGAAGACACTAGCAAATATACTTCACAAGCAAGATTCTGAAAGTAGATTGATAAGGTAAAATTGGAGTCACCCGTCACCACAACTTGATAATATAATAAGGATCAAGATTCAAGAAAGAACAAAGGCACTCAATAAATCGGCTTACACGGCAGCAATGAAAGCCAGCCACTTAAAAAAGGAAGTCCCAAATCCAAGGCCGCTACCAACAAGCAGGATAGCATGATTAGCCAGTTTTTTAGCTGCATTCCCCAGGTCCTTAAAATCAGAAGCAATCAGCTCCGACGCTGCTGGATCAGTCTTCATCGCCAAATAACTAATCTTGGCCATGATATTCGATCTTCACAGCAAAAAATAAAAATAAAAACTCGCAGCCTAAAACGTACAATTGTTTGGTTGCGCAGAAACAACAAATGCAAGGACGTTTGATACTTAAGGAAGCTTCGAGGGGTTTAAACAGCTATGGGAATTTCGGAAGTAATTAGAGAGATCCAATCTTTTTACCGGCCCGTAGCAGCAAGATAAATAGTCAACTGAGTGATGATTGACTGAAGATTTGACGTAGGAGAATGACTAAGCAGTGTGAAAAATACTCTACTACTAAAAAAAGGATTAGATGATGATATCAGGGGATTGCCTCCACCAGTTTACAGGGAAATATTTTGTGCAAAGAACGAGAAGAGGGAGGGTGCCACGTGGAGGTAATAAATTTGGTCGGTTTGTTTCCCTAATTATTATTACAAGCAACTAGTCAAACGATGCCAGTTGGCATTGCTTGATTTTTTGTGATTTTTAGTATTTATTTATATTTTGACAAAAAAAAGTATTTATTTATCAATTAAATCTTATATACAGCAACACCTTATTACTATTAAATTCATAATAGTAATTATTCAAATTTAAATAGTTATTATTCATTCAAAATTATATTATTGGTGCAAAAAATTGTTATTGATTTGAAAGCAGCTTTTGCCATTTCGCATCTCTTTTCCGAGTCCTTTGCCTCTCCCAAGCCTGCTTCATCCGGTTGGGGATTCGTCTGGTGAAAATTTAAATTAGACGAGGTACAAATTAACATCGATTTTGGAAAAAAAAAAAAAAAAAAAAGAGGGAGAGAGAGAAACTCAACTTCGAGTCGTACACTCCAGTGATTCTCTTCATATAATCTTCTTTATCTAAAGTAATATATTGTACAGGTGGCCTTCAATGGCAATGTGCACGTCAGATATCATCAGCTGGCAAGAGACGTTACAGGAGGCCGACGTGTGCAAAAGGATAACACGGAATAATGCTGATGTGGTATGTGATAAAATATTTTTTTTGGGGGTATTATAGGGAGAGAAGCCACGGAGAATAAGCTGTCCTTTTTAATCCCATCATCAAATGCTTTTCTCCTGAAAGGGATTATATTTCTTCTTTTTCTGGAACGGGAGAAGGGAGGAAAAAGAAGTAAGAGGAGGAAGAGGCTACAGCCGGTGTTCTAAAAATAAGGAAGTAATATATGCTTCGAGTACTCAACCTATTTTTGTTCACCAATTTCGACCAATGGGCAATTTAAGAGATTGTACGTTAATGAATGGGCTTTTACAGATAAAATGAAGTAGGCTAATAATGTAGCACCTCAATTGTGGGCCACTCATGGATTACTAAAGCCTGGGACATCAAATTCGGGCCATAAGGACAGCAATCACTAGTTCTGAGGCGCACAGTTACATTCCAGTTCTACGTACTCAGCCATGCACTTTAATTTGAGTAGAGTAGAAACGTCTTGCTAGAAGCGCTTGCCGTTATTGGAACCAGCGGGAAAAACACACCCTTAGTTGCTTTTATTAAAATCAATAGAAGTTAACTCAAACAGACTGCCTTGCTCAACAAGGCTGCTAAAGTCAAACTCTGTTGGAATATCACCCAAGAGAGTAACAAACCTTGGGTGAAAGTTCTTAGGTACTGTTATGCAATGTTTTTAAACTCGGACCGGTCAGTGAACCGGAGAGGTGGCCGGTTCGCGGTTCGATCGGTCCGACCGGTCCAACCGGCCGGTTCAAAGGTTCACTGGTTTTTTTTTTTTTTTTTTTTTTTAGTGTTAAGTACTAAGCAGGTTTCATTCTACACTTGAACTTTACCAACATAACTTAATTTAAGTTATGATAATAATAAATTTTCTAAAAGTTATACATAAAACATGGAATGATAAATATAATTAAAATATCATAATTCACCATAAGTTTTCATAAATTCATTATAAACATAAATAGATACAATCCAAATGTTCACCAATTATCACAAATAAAAACACAAAAAATAAATAAATTAAATATTGAAATTCTTTTACAACCCTTAAAAAAATCCATAAAAGAGTTCAAGTTAAGACAAACTATTTGAATAGCAAACTTTTATCAGTGGCATGATAAGCAACCACACCACCTTCACAATTTCATCAACTTAAGCTGAAAAAGTTAAAATTTTATTATAAAAATATAAATCTAATTGCTCAAACTAAAAAAAACTAAAAATTTTTGAAAAACAAATATACAGTTAAACACATAAAAAATTAATTGCTACTAAACATTACTAATTAACATGTTATATTAAATTCAATGATCCTATACCATTAATTATTTTAAATTCAATTATCAATAGCTTCGATTATGTGCCAACTACCATATTTTTGACCAGCCCAATGTTATTATTTGTAATTCCTACCCAATTCCTACACGAATGTGCACTACTTTTGCAAAAATTTCATCCTTAATTAATCGAATAAAAATAAAACAAAAATGAGGGAAACATATGAAAATTGAGGGGAAAAAGAAGAAAATGCAA